ATGCTTTAGTTTTATATTTAGTGTCTAACTATAAAGCTTACTTATCTTTAATTAACTACTTAATTTTATAAATAAAAGTTAAAAAGAACTTATTTTTCTTTTTTTTATGTTAAAATAAAAAGCATTTACTAAAATTAGAGTAATAGTAGCTAAACAGACCTTCTTTAGACCTGTTCTAGACTTCTTAATAGATAAGTAGAAAGATAATTTAAGTGTCTTTAGACTATAGATAATAGGAGATCTGTATAATTTTAGTAGCCTTAGTAAACCCTTAATGCAGTAGATTATTAAGCTACATAACTACTAAAATTAGTTCTTTTTTTATAGTGTGTTATGTTGTTTAATATTTAGCTTTACTTCTTTATTACATGTAAGCTAGGTTAATTGCATAAGCAAAGGCAGTAAAGGTTTATAAGTAGGTAGATATTTACTAGGCTATATAATCTAATTCCTCTTTATATCTAAATAAAGTTTAAAATAATATAACTATTTAATGCTAATAATGTAATTCTAAAAGCTAAGGTTTATAATAATAAAGAGGCAGTTTTAGATGCTTCTTCTATTAATTTATATATATAGGCAGATATACTAGTAGATAGGGACTTAGATCTAATCTTAAAAGCCCTTAACTATAACTTTAAATAGTAAGTGTTAGATAAGAACATAAAAGTATTAAAATAATAACTTAGTAGTTAGTAAGTTAATAAATAAGAAACTATAAGTGCTAGTATTAACTAAAAGATTTAAATAAACTTTAATGCTTTTTAAATATAAAACAGTAGAAACTTAGAAGTATTTTTCTTTAAATAAGTGTAATAGATTAATGTTTAATAAATTATACTTACTTAAGCTTAAAATAAAAAGTTTTTTTAAGTGTTACTATTTCTTATTTAGAAGGCATTTAAATTAAAATTATTTATGTTTATAAATTCTTTTTTAAAATTTTACTACTCTACTTTTATTTTTTATACTTTAAAGATAAAGCAGTTACTAGTAAAATGTTCTAGTTTTTTATAATTATAATAGTTACTAGAAGTTGTCTGTCTTTCTAGGGCAGGTGTCTAGCTAGATTGTCTATAGGTAACTAAGGTAGACTAGAGTACTAATAAAGGTGCAGGTTAGGGTGCACTAGAATAGTATACTGCCTTAGATGTATTACTAGAAACCTTTTAAGACTAATCTATACTAGGTCTAATAGTAGACTGTTAAGTAAGATTAATAGTTTACTTTAACATAGTAAAAGTATTTCTTCTTTCTATGTTATAAGCTGTTAGGTAGGCTACTATAGTCTTAAAAGAGCCTTTCTAAGTATATTTAAAACTTAAGTTTAGTACTTTTAGGCTAGGCAGTATTTTTTTTATAAGTAAAAAAACTATTTTACTTTTAATATAAACTCTTTAATAGCAGCACTAATAAAGTAAGCTTTAAAAGTAAAAAACACTTTTTTTTTACTTATTTTTAAAGTTTAAAATGCTTATTACACCTTTATTTTTTTATTACTAGTAATAAAGTAAGTTTATAAAAGCTTAATTATTTTTTTTATATTTTTAAACTAAAAGTAATCTAATTTAGCTAGGTATCTAGGCTCTAGGTATTCCTTCGCAATACTAGCAGTGTGTCCCTATACTAACGCTATGCGTGCATGCTTACTCTAATAGTAATCTAAATTAATGTTAAGTCTATTTATAATAAAGGCTTACTATTATTTAAATATAAGTTTTTTACTATTTATAAAGTTTTTAATCTTAAGCGTGTGTTTAGTAAAGTAGCTTTAAAAAAGCTTAAAAGTGCCTAAAAAGTCTCTTACTATTAAAGTAGTAAAAGTAATTTAAGGCATTATTATAAGTAATTTAGTAGTTAGTAAGGGTTAATTAAGACTAATAGTTTTTAATCTAGTTAGCTATTTAATTTATGCTCTTAATTAAGTAACTTAGTTCTTAAAAGCTATACTACTAAGGTTTAACTCTAAATTTAGTAAGTTTTTAGCTTTAAGTTTTATAAAAAAAGGTTTAGCTATTAAGGTTAGTAGTAGTTTAGTTTTAAAAGTAAGCATCTTGCCTTAGCTATAGCTAAAATAAGTTACAGTCTTTATAATAAGATTTAATAGTAGTTAAAAGTTAAGCATTAGTAGTTATTTTTAATCTTAATAAGTTATTAGTAGTTTTTAAGTTTTTACTTTAGCGCACTTTTTATAACTTTTCTAAAAGTAATCTTAATTATAAAAGATAAAAAGTTTTAAACTTAAAAGCTTTAGTTAATAAAAAGTCTCTAAAATCTTATCTATTCTAACTAAATAATTTAATGTAATAGTGTATAAAAAATTATAACCTAAACTAAATTAAACACTTTTTAGAGTTAAACATAGTTAAATAAATAATTAATATAATATTATTAATAAGGCTATTACTAGTAAAAGTAAGTTTTCTAATATAATGTAACAGCGCAGGCAAGACAATAGGTCTAAATGCAGTATAAATCCACTTAGAGGCATATAGAAGTGCGTAGGGACTTAGAGACCTAGGAATACTAATAACACCTATAGGCCTTATATATAGGATATTAGAAAACTACTAAGCTAGCTACAAGAGCAAGGTGCAACTAAATACATAAGGGAATAGAGGCAACTGCGGGGGACTAGGTCAAGTCATGGTTGGGGCCGATACAGGGACCCTTCAGATAGGATCCGAGCGACCCGAGATGGAACGATTTGTAGAATCGTTACACATATAAAGTAAGTAAAGTAAAAGTAATATGTTTCTAGTTCTATTACTCTTGTTTTTCTTTTATATAAAGAAAAAGGGGGATATCTAGATGTTTGCGCACAGAGGTTCGCGCACAAGCATTATATAACATAGATACGTGATCCTGCTCGTGCGCGATTGCTTATATCCAGGCCGCAACACTGCTGCTGCGTACAGACAATAAAGAATATTAAAGCTAAGTATAGCATTTAAAATAATAACATGTACAACTTTAATAAAATAAAGTTTATAATAAGCTAAATATCTACTAAAGTAGTTATTATAAGTTTAGAGAGATAAAAACAGCTAAAAGCAGTCTAGCTAGGCAACTAGAAGTAGATAATAGCTATTTAAAGCATTAATGCTAAAAAGTAAGCTATTTTACTTTTTATTATTTTTAAAGTAGTAACTACTTTTTAAACTAGTATAAAAAAAATTTACTTTAAAATTAAGTTATTATAATTTCTAAGTATAGCTAGACTACTAATTAGCTTAGTCTAGACTAGTTAAAGCACTTTAACACGCATATAAAGAAGTGTACTATAAGTAGCTACTATTTGCTAGTTATTAATAGCTATAAAAGCTATAACTTACTTTATTTTTAGTAATACTATAAAAATAATAAAATTATTACTATTTATATACTTTTTTACTTATTACACTTTTTATAGCTACTTAATGTAGGTTGTTTTACTTTTTTAAAAAAAGTGTATAAGCGCTAAGCTAAAAACCTTATACATAACTAAATTACTTATATTATAAGAATAAAGTTTTTACTATGCTTTAAAGTAGCTTATAATGCTATAATTACTTTTAGTAATATCTAAAAAAAGTTTTAAAGTGCTAGATTAGTTTTTTTTAACTTATAATAAGTTATAATAAGCTTTAATATAAAGTTATACACTTTATTACTACTACTACTTATATATAATAAGCCCTAGTAGTTATAAACTTTAAGTAATACTTTAAAACTTAAGTTATAATTAATACTTATAAAAATAAAAATTTAAAAGCATATAAATAGTTTACTAACTTTTATAGTTAAAATGTTTAAAAAAGTCTTAAAAAAGGTAGTAATAATTATATATAAGCTAGTATTAGTATAATAAAAAATTACTAAGCTTTAAGTAGCTAATAAGGCTACTATATAATATAAATTATATAAAAAAAAGTAAATTAAAGTAAAAAAAACTTTAATAATTTAAAAAAGCTTATACTTAATAGCTTTAAAAAAGTTTAAAGCACATAGTAATAAAAAAAAGTAAAGAAGTAGTTATAAGCTAAAGTAAGTAAGCTATTCTAAAGGCGCTATAAACAGTGTAATTAGACTAGGCATAACATGTAAATGTGTAAGCAAGAAGTAAAAGTAGTATCTAAATAATATTCTAGGCTGTACTATACTATATAGTGCTAGAGCGGGTTGTTATAGGCTATAATAGAGTTTGTTAGGGTAGGGTCTTAGTAAAAGTAAGCAACTTAGGTGTGTAAGCAACTTGCCTGTAAAGTACATTATTATTATCTTAAATACTATACTTAGCTTTAAATTACTATAAAATTTTTATAAAAGCTTTTTTTATAGTTATAGTTATACTTAAACTTTACTTTAAGCTTTAAGTAATACTTAATAAATATATTAAGCTAGTTTATACTAACATAGCTTATATTATACTTAATGTGTAAAAAATTAGCTATATTAGCTATAGCTACTAGCTAGAAAGGAAATTCTTACATATCTAGCTTAAGTATGTACTAAATAATTACTTATTTTTATTATTATTTAGTTTTTATAAGTTAGCTATATAATTAGCTTAAAAAAGTTATTTAGTGTGTTAGTTACTTATTATTTTTTAAAAAGCTTTATAAATAGCTATAGTATATTACTTAAAAAGTGTTATATTTTATTTAAAAGCTTAAAGTATAAGCTATATTTAATATTTCTTTAACATATTTAAGTAGTGTTGTTAGAAATACATTAGTATAAAAAAAGTAGTATAGTAGAGTCTTAGTAAAAGTAAGCAACTTGCTTGTAAAGTATGCTAGTATCTAAATAATATTCTAGGCTATACTGTACTATATAGTGCTAGAGCAGGTTGTTATAGGCTATAATAGAGTTTGTTAGGGTGTGGTCTTGGCAAAAGTAAGCGACTCCGGTGTGAGAGCAACTCGCCCGTGAAGTACGTTATCACTTAATGCGTGCGTTTCCCCCCCTGCGCCTCGCTTAAGACTTGAGCTTGCCACTAAACCTGCCCTCTTTGCTTTCTTTGTTCCCCCTCCAGCATCGGAATGATTGTTCTAGCCTATCTTATTTCGGCCCCTCTGTCCGCGTCGCAAGAAGTCGGCGGTCATGACAGACCAAACCGCATATTCTTTGGCAGCCGAACAACCGATGAAGGAGATGAAGAACATCTGAGGCGGGTTTCTGAGATTTTGCTTGACCTGGAAAAAGGTGAGAGGGCATTCAGCCCCGCCCCCGACATTTCGTATGACACCAATTGCCATCTACAGAGGGAACCTTCGACGCTTTACACAAACGTCTTCCGTTCAAGTGGAACGATGACGAGGAATACGATACGGTCAACCCGTTTGGAGATCCCCGGCAATATCAGTATCACGCCCTCTGGACCTTCGACACCCGAAATGACGTGTTGCGTTACACGAATGCGAACCGTTGCAGTCAAATACCACTCGGTCTCCTTCGAGAGCGTGCTGTGAGTCTAGCTGATATGGAACCACTTGGCGGACCTGTTCCTGTGCCTTTGGAGCATACGTTTGATTCAGAAACGCCTTACTGGAAACCGCATGTAGAATGTGACGACAGAATGCGTGCATTTGCACACCGCCTACTCCGGGATTTTCATCACCAGTGGAGGCATATCCTTCGAAACAATTACAATTCTGTAACTTTACGAGTACTTTCTCGAGCTATAATCCGGCTTTCGACGCTTGATTTCGAAGTTCACGAAAACACAGGCGGACATGGCCGGCGGGGCGTACATGTCTGGATCACACATTTACCCGCCTGGGAGCCGTTCGAGGCTGATATCGTGCGCGTTGGAACCGTCTGGGTCGTCCTCTGCCAAGATATTCAAAATGGACTGTCAATGGCCCAGCAACACGTAGCATCCCGGGAAATCAGCACGACTGAGAGTCCTAGCCCGACGACGCCTGGGGAAGCGCATGCACATTACATGATCCTATCAGTCAAACACATCATACTCTGCCACGCCACCGATCGGGCGTCACTCAAGCACACTGCTCCAGAGCCGCTCTTCAATGGCAATTATGGCACCGGACCTCCGTCGGACCTGGCACTGAATTATCTCATCTGGGCCACCGCTTCCGCCAGACTTTCGATCTTTACAACTATTCAATCCCTACCCATTGAGATCCAAGACATAATACTCAACTACTCATCCGTAGGCACAGTAGTAGCTGCTAAAATCGGCTGCATGCTTGGCTTGGGATCCCCATTCTCCTGGAAAGATGGTCCCCTAAAGGTTACGCTGGAGGAAAGGTACGTATTTCGGCCTTCGGGATCCTCTGTCGAGTCTCAGGTCTGGTTCGGTGAGTACAAGAGCGGAATAGTCTATTTAGCACGAGCAGAATAGAGTCATTATATGGATACAGCTTTCCATTTGTTCAATGTAAGAGACCGGAAAAAGCAGCTAACATTTGTAACTGTCTAAGCGGAACGGCTTTGGCAAAGCAGTATAACAAGACATCCCTCACCATCACACCGCCTCCTATTGTACAGACTCTTTAATCACAAACACGGGAGTGGCTGACGCTTCATGTTCCCAAACATGGTTGTGATCGCGTTGACGTCGTTGCGTATGTGTAGACCACCACTTAACGCCGTAAGCACCCCTCTGTCGGCAGTGAAGAATTGAACGTAAAGTCCAATATGGACGATGCCGTAGACCTGCCCAGACTGGTTTTCTGTACTGGCACAATGTCGGCTCAGGTGATGCTCCGTCTCAGTCCAGCTCCTATCAGCCTTCTTACTCTCCACCAAGCAGTAATCATACGCATATAGGCTTCCCCCGGGGCGAGATGTAATTTTAAGCACCGCCATGTCCACCCTCAACTCGTTTTGGTCTAATTCCCCGCGCGACTCTTCCTGGAGAACGTCGAAGCCTTCGTCCTCCAGGAAGAAGTGCTTCAAAACCGCAATCATAACCCTTCTGTACAAGTACTCATGGGATTCAGGCGATCGCTCGACAAGCTGGAGGTGCGTTTGAACGTTGACCTTGTCCAGGTAGGTTCGAGGTGCAGGGGGGTTCGGATTCGTACGCCTGATCCGCCCAGTTCTAGTATTGCGCCTGCACGGGACCCAGGAGGTTACTTCTGATCTACATCTGCTATCGCCCGTGAGGGTCAAGGGTAACGGGTAAATACTCACCATTGTGGCCAACTCTTGGAGCCATCAACGGCCCATGTATCCTGTGAATAAGATCAGTTCAGCTCACTTCTGCGAAGGCTTGGTGCACACGCACCGTGTCGGCATCCTCCCATCCAACCGGTATATCATACTGCGTAGCCCTGGTGTTAAGGTTCTCGTAATAATCCTGTCCAGCAGAATTCGACCACTGTCTCCAAGTACCGCCAACGAGGGTTCCGAGTTCATATTGTGGACTGGCAGCCATTGTAAGAGAACAATGGATGGTATACGTAGATTTCAGGGTTTTAGGAAATGGGAATGTTCGAATGATCAGAATGTGTGACTATCGAAAATACCAGAGATGTAAAGGATATATATACTCTCTATCACCCCTACCGGAGCCTGCAGCTACGTACTACGTTTCATATGTCATGATAGGAAACGAGACCGACAAATGCTCCTGGCGCTTGTTATACAATGAATGTAATATAATACTATTGGAAGAGAGGTTGCCGCGGCTGCAGCGTTCTCGTTACGATCACCAATTCCGCAACACGCGCGCCTAGGTTTCAAAATAGACTCGATCCCAACATTTGCTAGGCTGCAGATATCTAGCCGCGTTTACAAACCTGCACCATGTTGATTCCTCACTCATAGCGGACTAATTCGTATTCGAGGCATTCCATAAATCATGCCGGGTTGGGTGCCAGCCGCAAACCTAGTGAAGATCACGGGACTATACCATAGTACGATTAAACACAACCAAGTCCCAAACACGATGCGACTACAAGACGTTCATATTAAAGGCAGGATATACAGTTCTAGTAAGACTTTTAGTTCACCATACCGGTACGGTTAGCCTCGTTTCAGAATACCACCTACCTCTCGCCAGCGCCAAGCCCTACGGCGGACGATTAAAGGGTAAAGTGACAAAACTCAATTTCTAAGGTAGGTAGTACGGCAGGTAGGCGGTACGGCGAACAATTCAAGGGTAAAATCGTCCGCCGCAGCCACACCTAAACTGGAATATAATTGGTTGGCTTCGAAATCTGCATTTTCGGACTCTGAAACCTGCATATCCGATATTGCGCCTCATGAGTTTCTTAAACTCTGCATTTTGTGGTCAGAAATAGAAAAGCGAGGATTTGATACTGAACTCAACTTGACCACAAGGCAGGCCTGCCCCGTCTATTCAGAAATGCCTACCCCAGTATCATAAATAGGCACATACCTTACGAAAGATGAAAACCTGGGACTTTCCACCGGAAAAATAGCCTGGAATCAACACCGGGAATCCGTCCACCAAAAATAAGAAGGTATTAAAGCACCTCCCTGCCAGTTGACTACGCATCAAGAAAGTATTAATAGATGAGAAGGCATCCGTAACTCCTATATTGCCGATAACATAACTGAAACTCCACGATGTCTCCCGAGGCATTGATTGGGCTACTCACGTTAGTTGTAGCCGTGCCGCCAACTGTCGTCGTCATAATTAGATTTTACCAGAAGCAAAGGCGAGTGAGAACAGGTGAACATATCTTATGTTCAGTCTACTTGTATGCTGACCACTGTTTAGATTGGGTGCTCAGGAATCAGAGGACATCGTTGAATATCTTCATACAACTGAGAGCGGATGGCCGAGAGAATTTGGAAGAGGATCAAAACATTTGTGTCGCTTGAGTAAGTACTTCTCAGCTGGAATGTTTAAGAGTTAGGCTGACTAATGCTTGAGAAATCAATTTCCTTCGAGTCTGCATTTCTGCGGTTGATTGAGCTACACGCACTACGACGCTATAGGGACTGTATATGGTGATCTACCGCGAAGGTTAATGATCAGCTCAGTCGCTCTCAAAGAGGCGGTGGCAGGTGCCTGTGCGTCTAGGATCATCATCTATAAGAATTTTTATTTCGTGTATGCATACCGTCAGTCGATTAGCAAATCCACACCCACCCCCTTCAGAGCATTAACAGCCCAATCCGGATATTTACTCTTCTCGTCATATAACTCCGCAAAGAACTCCCTCAAGAACGCCGGATACCTATCCCCAATAATAGCCTCTCTAGCTAGTTTCATAAGGTTGAGCTGGTAGTGCACGTTGTGCATGGTCAATAGGTGCGCGCCGGCCGTCTCTTTCGCCGTGACATGATAGATATAGGCTCGAGTGATTCCGAGTCCCCCTTCGTCCTGTGACCGACAGCAGACGCATTGGCAGCCTGCTTCAATGGCCGAGAAGTCCTCTGAATAAGCGGCGTTGCGAAGGTTTAGTACGCCTTGCGCGGTGATGGCATTTCCGAATCGCTGGGTTATTTCAGTGACTATATGTAGATGCATGATCAGGATATTCTTACCGCAGTTCTTGTAGGCCATACGCAGTCAAACATATCGGCTCCAAGGGCTATCGAAACCACCAAATCTTCTGGATATCCCTGGGAATGTCAACACTCTTGTCTAGCAAAAATCCTGAGTCCACTCACAACTCCCATCACATATCGCGGCTTCTTCTCTGGGAGTAGCGCGGTACACGTATCAACCACCTTGCAATACGCATCCTTGGCCTCCCCGCCAGAGAGGCCTCCGATCGCAATGCCGGGTGTATCTCGAGCTACCATCTCAGCTGTACACGCTCTCCGAAGATCGAGATCTAGACCTCCCTGGATAATACAAAAGAGGTTCTGCTTCTCGGGGTATTTGTGTGCCTTGATGCATCGGTCTAGCCATCGCACCGAGCGTTCCATAGCTTCGGTCATTCGAGCGAGATCAGGGGAGGTAGTTGCAATGACATCGTCTAGCTGCATTATGATATCGGAGCCGATGGAGTTTTGGAGGGATATCGAGTGCTCAGGGGTCAGGAGCCTAATTTCGTAAGAACTAGTCTGGTGGGACGCTCGTTTTCATACATAGGTGTTCCATCGTGTGGACTAAGAAACCGAACACCCTCCTCAGTCACCTTCGCGAGCTTGAGGAGCGACACCATCTGAAAGCTGACTTCGGAGTCAGCTACGGCGCGGTCGTCGACAAGGTTGGATGGGTCACCGACCCACCACTATCTATAACCATTAGCACTGAATTATACACGCAGGCTTGTTCGAAGGGGCGAGCACCTGTGAGGATATTGTGAGGCCATGACTGGAACTTATGTGCGCCCCCGACGGCATCTAGGGTAGCTTGTCCAGGTTTCAGACCTCTCCCAGGTGTCAGTAGTTGCAGGCTGGTGTTTCCTAGGGTCTCCGTACAGATGGTAGGTATTGTTGAGGCAGAGTCTACACCCCACATCCTCCAGTTGCTCTGGAGTGAGTCCTTTGAGGGAAGCCTGCGTGGCTACGGGCATGAAGATGGGGAGAGGGACAGGGCCATGCGGGAGGTGGAGTGTTGCGGCTCGGGCTTTTGTAATCTGCACGTCTCCGTCAGAGCATGGATTCTTCGCTGAAACTAACCTACTCACAGAGCATTTAGCAAGGAGCTCATAGCTCAAAGCTGAAGGCATGGCTATAGGGGCCATACGGGCTTTCTTGATAATGTTGAGTGGGATCGTGGTGGGGTACTCGTGTTTCTTCGTTTGGTCTGTGCGCGCATATCACGGGTGGTTTAGCTCCAGCTCAGTGCCAATGCAGTTCTAACCCTTGCGCCACGTTTTTGACAGAGCATATGAGGCTCTTCAATCAAATTGCGAAGCCATACAAAGTAACAGTCTATCAGGATGTCTCCAATAAGTCACTTGCGGCTGGTAAACACTAAATTGCCCTCCTGGAGCTCATGAAGAGGGTTTGTACCCCCCAACAAGTCCTCCTATGGTGTTGACAGGAAGGGAACCGAGCCCACCAACAACCACTCTTTCTCCTCAAGGTCCCAATGCAAATTTTCTTTCCCAATTCCATTCTTCTTCTCCTCGCCACAAGTTCCTAACTTCAGTTCCCCGTCCATAATGGCACCCTTCCGCGAAAGACTCAAACGCATGTTCCATCCCAATAAGACAGCAGCCTCCTCCGAGGCTCTAGTGCTACCGCCGATGACAGTATCCTCTCCAATTATTGAAGACAAGTACAACTTCCACTACCATGACTCAAATCCAACAATGTTGAATATACTTCCGTACGAGCTTCTACTACATATTACAAGCTTCTTGCCCCTCTCCTCAATCGCCAGCCTCTCGCTCATAAACCGTTTCATGATGTATTGCATGAGAACACCCGATCCTTGGACAAAGTTTCAATTCCCTGAATATCTGCACGATCGGTGCGAGTTTCTTCTACTCCTTGACCGGGATTATCCCCATCATCTACTTTGTCACGAATGCGGCAAATTCCACCCTCGGGATAGTTCTGAAAAAGATGGGAGTCGGGTATCGAAGGGGTTCACGTGCAGAAAATGGATGGACAAAAACTCTATTAGTTCTCTCGTCCTTAACCCTAGACGGTATGATTGGCAAGAAGTCCAGACGACCATGCGGGCCTTTCGCTTCGGCCCTAATTACGGCGATTCACATGCACTGAACTGCGACTTCAGACCCGTAATTTCAAATGCCGGTTGGTGGCCTAGCCCAAATTCTACATACCTCGGGGGCTCAAAGGGTGGATGGGCGAGCAAAGCATTAGCGCTCTCAGTCGATGATCGCCTCCTCCTCCGGGAACAGTTCTTCTGGGCCTTTCCGCGGCATGTGAGGAACTGGCACCCGGCCTGGCTCCCTAGACCAGGAGATATCCGTTCTTGTCGGCATGCACCCAGGAATATGATTATAGATGGAGTTGGAGATGCGATGCGCAACGCCGCAAAGCCATCACGGTGTCTACCACAAGCATCCACAGGAAAGACTTATAGGTGCGTCATATGTCCGACAGAATTCACAATCGACGTGGTGCCGTTACCACGCCGGAAGGGCCTGTTTGTCCTAGTTTTTACTCGATATCTCGACCTTGGAGAGTGTAAGTCACCGAATGAGCCGGAATGGCAGGCTTTGCGTCTGGATAAGAGGAAAATATTCAACGCGGGTTACCTTTCTGGATTTGGTGAGCCACGGACTAAATATTGGATCTCGCGGGAGCCTATATGCGCTCGTTTTGAGAGAGCGTACGAGTCAACTTTGCATCCATCTGCTTCTTAGGACATTAAGATATCAACTACCCAGGCAATGCTTTGGGGAGAGAGGGGAATGCTCAGGTATCTACTAGCTTTACTTAATTGAAATTTAAAGTCACTTTACTACTACCTGGGACAGATACTGCCAACACTGTCGTTCAAGAATTTCTCTGAATGATCCTCAGTCCGTCAGTCTATTGGACAGCTCAGAACATGCCGCCGAGCTGGGCAGGACTTACAATATACGCAGTATGATTGTTACTCTCCTCAGGTGTTAGAGGAGATATGTCTGAGTCGAAACCACGAGCACCCGCATTACCCACTTGTGTCCGTCTGCATTAACCTTTTTGGAGTCGATTTTAGCTACCCTGTCGCATTGCCTCCCAAGTGCAACGAACTCAACTAAGATGGACGAATGCGTAGTGTAATGGGCGGATCGTTCTGTGTCCCTGTCCTGCGACTGGAAAGATTGGCTCGCGCCGGCGGTGCGATATGGCGAGATAGACTAGTATTTGAACTCACGCAAATGAGATCTACTCCCCTGTGATGTCTACATCTCGGCACTATCCGCAGTGCAATCACACAGCTGTTGGTGAAATATCGAACTTTTTGCTGCATTTCTATTCCATGAACTTAGGAACCTGACTTCTGCCTTTAGCCTCCTTCCTTCAACAGCTATGCAGAGAATTTTGTCTGGGGAGGGGCCCTACATCCATGAAGCAGGCTTTCGTATTAATTGGTATCATTATGCTGGCCTTGGGCTCCGTGACAAGAAACAGTAGCATTAAAATTACTGCAGTCAGGTAGCTTTGAAGTACTTCTCCCCTTAACTAAGCCTAAATCGTTCTCCTCAATGTCCATCCTTTCACTCCAACCCAAGCTCAATTTCCACAGCCTCAGTAACACTCTCACTCGGTTCATATCCCCTCCCATACCTCTCCCCATAAAAAAAAATCCATCTCTCCCCTCCTTACACAAAACCATCCGCGTAACGGATAATCCTCAAAACCAGCGCCAAACACTTATGGCGCTTGCGATGCTACACTAAAACCTCTTCTACATGGGATCCAGCTCTGGGGCCACCATCGCCTGCATGATACAGCCTTTCATCTTCCGTGTAAATAAGCCCCCAAACAGATTAAAACCCTTGAACACTCTCCGTTCTACTAGCACTAGCTCGGTGACGCCTTCTGTTCCCATTCCATTCCCTCTAAATTCATTATTTGAGTTTCCTACGCCTATACCAACGCAAAAGCTATTTTCCATCTTTCAGCCATCCACATACAGGATGGCTAATCCTTGACTGGAAGGTATATGAACAGTTTTTCGAATAGCAGTACGACCACAGTGCTCTAACTATTTCCGAGCGAAGTACTCTGTATCTCATCTACGCCATCTCTAGACGGTCCATACAACTGAAGAAGCAAGGCACAGAAATCGATCCTAAGGCTAGCTCACTTTGTCCTGCGTGCTATCGGATAACGTGGCACATGACTAGGGTTGGGTCTATGTATTTCACTCCTTCCTAGAATTCGGACGTCAAAAGGATATCAATTCTTATTCTACATTTCCCGCTATTGTGACCTGTGTTAGGTGATTAGATACAGTAGACTAACAAGCGCTAGAACTAACTTCTGCAGGGACATTTTGTAGCCGCGATTGAATCCATGGGTTATGTCCCAGAGCGGCATTCTGGCGTCCCTATTTAATTTCTTACTCTATTAGCAATCAATAGTCAAAGATCTCCCTACAGAGGAATATTTGCAGGGCTGTGTGGGAGCGTGCTGCGCGCGATTACAGAATCAGTTCCTCAGGAGGGCGATGCCAGAGGTAGCTTGCCGCGGATTAATCTGGATATGTATATATTAGTGGAGCCCAGGTTGGAACTGGAGGGTAATGGGACTGGGAATGGGAATAAAGGTGCGAATAAGACCAAGTCAAAGGTAGCAGATCCGTTACCTAGGCGCTGTTAAGGAGGGTTTTATGGAGGTGGATGACGATGTGCCGAGGGGAAAGCATGGCTGGAGGGTGTTTAATGAGATGGTGTAGTCAGGTATTCAGCAGCCGGGGTTGGCGACTGGGGATTTTGGAGGCTCAGCCAATTTTGAGGAATGGGTTTGCGGGGCCAGCGTGGAGTACTGGGATTGATTTTCAGGCAGGGAGTTTGATGCGGGTAGTATGCAGATGGGGAATGCCGCGTTTGGGAATCAGGAGGGTTGGGATCATGGCGTTTTAGCTAGGTATGAATGATCTACTACATTTTTATCACCGGACGTAGGACTCAACAGGGGTAATTTAGGACAGACATGTGTGTATTATTGATCTTCTATCTTATTCTAGCATGGCCCTAAGAGACGAATTCTACCCCAATTAAGTTCCACGGGATGTCGTAACATGCGGTAAGATTTGTGACTATTGAAGAGAAGAGTTGTGTTAGAGCTCTCTATTCCACCCCCCCTCACTCTCAAATATCTTCTCCACTTTTCTACATACTCTCAACAAGGACTAATCCCGATACCTACTCGCCACAACACTTTATCCGATTGGCATTCCGTTCTTCCCCGTGAGACCAGGAACATTGACAACAGGCATATGCATAGCTGTCTACGGCTCACAAAAAGCAGCGCTTCCCGTGTTCCCATGACCAACAGGCGCTTCGTCAAGCGCACTCGGTCCGATGATCGCAGCGTAATTGTCTACCAAAGCATCCATCTTCGGTCGCATTGCGGCTAGCTCATTGAAAGCCTTCAGCTGATGTTTCCTCGAGTGGCCGTCCTTGTTTTCAAAGTGATGGATGAGTGACGGGTAGAGCTTATCTTTCGCTTTGTAGTAGTCTGGAAAGAATACTATTCGGCCATTACCAGCGGGGACTTGTAGGTAGTATTTGTACATTGGCGGGAAACTGTCTCCCAACGTGATCTCTTCCACCTAGACCCCACGCGCTCGGAGAAGCCCGGCGTCTTTCTTGAGCGCTGCAGTGGTACCTTAACCTACCCCCAGCCATTCGGGAGTTAAGAGGTTGAGGGGTGCGAATTGGCGCCGTGGATGTGGAAGTCTTCTTCTGGCTCGTCGTCGACGAGCTAGAAGGCATCTCGGAGTAGTTCCAAATCATCCACGCTCTGCAAATACAAGCCCGGGGTATCGAAGATCAGCGAGTACAATTTCTGACCTTCCCGAGATATTATATCGCTACTGTAAACAGTTAGTCCCAGCAGCCTTATAGTCTTTAAAGTATACGTCGTAGAAGTTCCACGTCGGTTTTACAGTGTATATCCCGTTATACGAACCGGGGCGGATCGTGCTACCGACTGTCTGCGTTTCAAGGCCAATGTGGACATGCATGTCGCCGGCCGCAGCCCGGAGCCTGAGGACGAGCCACTAGTGTTCGCGATGTGTCGTGGGAATTGCTGGTCTTGGAACCTTTGTGAGAAGGTCCGACCGAGGTCGCGAAGAATTCTATTATCATTGTCTTGCCTATTATCCAGTAGTCAGTAAGTGGCATCCATTTCTGACCTTCCGAAGACCAGCATACCAAATGGCAATGCCCCCATTCGTACTCGACGTAATGACGCTCGCCGCATCCAAATTCGGCACATCGCCCTCTTAAATCGGTGAGTTGTGTTCCGTCTGCATATCCTTTGTAAATATCACATCTTTAATTCCTACGGCCACGCCATATAGTAATCCTCTCTTCTCCGGCGGTATCTGATTGAGCTCGGGGCGCGGTAGACGAGGAGGTTCGCGTTGAGGTATGTGCGTGCGTGGACGGCGGGGTCGCGCTCTGAGACGCGTGAGAAGAGAGATTTTGCATAGTCTTCGACGGTTAAGGTGTCGTCTTTGAATTTAGCCTGGGCTTGTGATGTGGTGAGGCGGAAGAGCTCGGGGAAGGTCATGGTGGGAAGTGGTTCAGAAAGGGGGGAGGGGATGGGGAGAGCAACGGTAGGATGTGCGGGATTCCCATTGTCATTGAAGATAGCCTCAACCCAGGAATAATATCACATGTTCAAAGGGCGTCGGCGATGATGAAATTTCCCACGTTGTGCATTGACAACAAGCTTCCAATGCTGGATTGGATGACTGACTAAGCGGCTTCAGCTTTCGTATTGAGCCCTCGGATGCTCAGAAACTGGGAAACGATCAGTTTTCCATTTCACTATCTTCATCTCATCGTCGGGAGAAATGGCTCCGATGTACTTCAGTATGGCGGATCTCGCTCCAAGTTCTTGTAGATGTTAGCAAGGTACTGTATGTTCAGGCCTTTCACACAGTTCCTTTTGTCTTTTTTGCATTTTCTTCAGGTTCTGTGGTTGAGTGGCATCAACTTTTGGGAACACCCGGTTTCTGAACCGTCTTGCACTATTATAACACCACGTCTTTGAATCATCTGGTTGCCTTGTCTTTCTACATAGTATTTTCCCAATGTCGCATGATGGTACGATGAATATCACAACACCTCACCTCACCTCACCTCGCCATCGGCGTTCGAGAATAGGATCCTAGGAGTTGAAGAAAAAGGTGTATTATCACCGGGCTCGGAAAAGGCGGATGGATTTGATAGCTCCTCGAACAACGACGGCGACGATGACGGCCACAATAGCGATATCCGTACCATCCACGGCATCGGCAACCGAACGAATGTCATGTCCACAAACACCTCATGACAGCCATCCCCATCCTCTCGGTGTCCCTCTTCGTATCCTTCATTGACACAACGTCCTTTTCAACTTGAATGCCGGGTATATCAGCAGATTTCGATACTAGACTAGCGACCTAATGGATTGGGTCTTCGTTTCTTGTAGCTTCAACCGCCTTTCAGCTCATCTGGGCCTCCGACTCCTACGCTGACGACGTTCCCTTCCAAGTAAATCTACCCTTAGAACGTGACGTCCCTGAGCCAAAATGCCTGCTTAGGGTACCGTATTCGCACGATTGCAATGATTTCAAGTTCCATGTTATTGGCGGTGGGTTTGCGGATCCGGATAGATTTTCTGCGCATATGAAGAATGCGTCTGATGTACCGAATGAGGAGAGGGAAATGGGGATTCCAAAGATGATGACGGTGCGATTGCATTGTAGGATTTTACGGCGGCCGGGGCGTTTTGGCGCATTGAAGAAGTTTGTGGAGTATTTTGGGCAGAAGGATGGGGTGTAGGTGGCGACTAGGATAGAAATTGAAGAGGCGTTTGAGATGTAGTATCCGTATAGGAAGGGGTATTTAGTGAAGTGAGGTGGGAAGAAAGAAGGTATTGGAGAGTTGTTTTGTGCTTTTGTAGATAGGGTTTGGGGAATTGGCTGCACCCTCAGGTGAAATTAGAACGCATTAGGAATACCTAGTCAGGAGTCCTATGTCGGTGCTGCGAGACTCCTGAACATCGCTCCTACGCTCGGATGTTGTAGTCCGTCGTTGAAAGCTTTAGAAAGTTCTACCATATCTCCAGGTATGTACGGGTTCCCCCACCACATATTTACATCCATCAATCCTCCATCGAATCTCAGCGCCCGATCACAGTGTCGTTACCTCGAGGTTCTTAATCGAATACGTCGTATCTAAACCCGTATTAGCCAAAATACCCTCCAATGCAGTATCAAAAACTTACTCCCAGAAGGTCCTGGACTCCCGCTTGACCCCTCCATCTGAAGATTAATAACCCTAAATTTAGTCAGCTTTTCATTCCAACCCCCCCTCCAAAAAAAAGCTCAAATACAAACGCAAACTCACAAATACAACGGCTGCCCAGTATACCCCCCACCCACATGGGTCGCCTGCAACGCCCCATCCATCCAAAACTTAACCTGCACATCCTTCCCATTCACATCTCTCAACTCACACCGAATTTCATGAAAGCTCTCCGGGCTACTATACGTCACATCCTTCCAACTCAACACACTACTTGTATTAAATGTATTGAAACTGATCTTCCCACTCCCCTTCCACTCAGCCATATCAACTTCCGGCGGCCAGCCATTGACCGCGGTCAGCCAGAACGCGGGCCATGTCCCTTTTGTTGTGGTGGCTTTGAGGGAGGCGCTGAAGGACAAACCGCCACCTTTCGGAACGGTGAAGTGTTGTTTTGCGCCGACGGCGCCGGAGAGGTAATTTATTGGAATGGTTTTGCCGCCGTGTGTTGTAGAGGGTTGGCCGGAGACTTTTTGCGCTGTGAGAGTGAGAGTGGAGGAAGATATTGAGACATGAGCAGAGTCCATTCGCGCGCCACCGTTGTGTGTGTTACCACCCCATGGGTAATTGTAGGTGAAGTATTGTTCGAGGGCGGAAGTGGAATCGAAGCAGGTTTTTGGGATGAGGGTTGTAGTGCGTTGGGAGAGGGCAGCAGAGGAGGTGAGGACGGGCAAAAGGAGGACTGCTACAGAGAGGGAGAGCATAGTCGCGTTGATCTGTTATGAGGGCGATTGGGTGGACCAAAAGAGAATAAAATAAGACTATGCGTAGCACACAGAAAAACTACACAGTCCAGGAACAAAGCCCTCAATATTCCCGGGTACAGCAACGAGCCTCACTATATACGCTCCCCTTAGTCCCTGGCTCAAGTCTTTCATTACCATCCATAAATTATCCGTCCAGCAAAGTGGGACATCTCCACAGATTGCTCCTTATACGGCTCTCCATCTCGGTTGGTGCGAAATTGAAACATCTGCCAAACGGCAAACAGCCGTTTTACCTGTTTGGCTCGCTAATATGTTCCGCATATACGACTCTTCTGGGGAAACCTGGTAGCGATCACGAGTCGCTTAGCCTGTAGAACACGGTTGCTTTGCCGAATTAAGCTTGAGGAGTAATTAACTTGGAGGTTGGGTTGAGGGATGCATGCTCTCGCATAATAATTCTGGTGGGTGCTGGGACGGGTTTTAGAGACTTTGGTGTAGTGCTGAATTAGTGGATGGCATTGAGGGGTAGGGACTCATGCAAGGGCTTCGGTCTTCCACCATACCTTCACACTTAACGTTAACCTGGAACGTGACTAAGGCAGAGTCTATCTCTTAGACCTCTGCAAGGATTCACGAAAACGTGAACAAGATACAAAATCCATGTCCTAGAGTACCCCAGCTACGTTCTAAGTTAAATGACAAGATGCAGTATAGCCGGGTCTGGAAAGGAAATGTTGTCGGCTTGGAATCCACTTTCACATGCAAGCCATCCTGCCCATGCCGACTTATATTAGAATTTATACCTCAACTCCTTGTTCTCTTTGTCCGTCATATCGCTGAATTCGATATCTTGTTGATGTACGATATCCGCTGTATCACGCCGGTTATTCTCCCTTCGGTAGTAGAGAAGTAAGGCCGCAATTGCAAGTACGACCGAAGAATCTACCGCGACAATAGTAACTTTAGCGGGGACGAACTCGGGTGCGTCATCGTTGCGGAAAGTTAGTGGACCAAGGATATTGCCTAAGCAGAAGGACATTAGAAGAATGGCGTTCATGGTGACTTTCTTGGTGTGGCCCTAGGAACATTAGCAGACTGGAAGTGGTGAAGACAGATAATGCTTGGAGTACTTACGGCAAAGTTGGAAGCTGCAAAAGAGTAAGATAACGGAAGAAAGGCGCCTGTAAGATGTGTAAAGTAGTTCCCAACTAGCCTTCCGGTTTTGTTTTCAGTCGGGAGGAAGGCGATAAGACTGCCGCCCAAAATACCCCCCAGCGCCGTCCATACGATCTGCATAAGGCCACGGCAATTGTATCTCGCTGCAATTTGGGTCCCCAAGATAACACTCACGACTGCGATGAATCCACCCGGAATCTGGATTAGGGCAGTTTCTTTGTTCGAGAAACCAAAGCTGCGGATTAATACGCTTTGAAAGGATCCAACAGCACCGTTTGGAATGCTTGCACCCGTTGTGATGTACGCGAGAAGCCAAACCTGCGGGTCACGAAGCGCCTCGAAGAATTGATACGGCTTGAAGTGCTTGTTTTCGATGCCCGTGTTGTTCACTCGTAACCGCTCAATAGCCATGACTTTCTCCGCATGCGATAGTCGTGAAGACATTGGATTGTCTGGGAGGAAGAGAAAAACTAGGATTCCCGTAGAGACGGTTAGAGCGCCGATGCATAGAAACATGATCTGCCAATTGTTGAATCGATCGCCGGTGTAGTGCTGGAAACCGTAAGACATCAACGAACCGGTCATAACCGCACAGCCAACGCCAATATACCAGAAGCCGATGCGCTTCGGTTGCTCGTGGCGCTTATACCACATCGAGGTCACGAGAATGAGAGCTGGGCTAACAGCAGATTCGAAAATTCCGAGAAGAAGACGGAGGGCGGCTAGGGATGCGTAGTTGTTACATGCAGCAGTGCACGCAACAACAGCACCCCAGAGACAAACCATGGTTCCGAGATACTTCCCTACAGGCAGGCGCTGCATGAAGTAGGCGTGCGGCATCTCGAAGACTAGGAAGCCGAGGTAGAAGAGCCACGAAAGAGTACCATATTCTTGCGTAGTAAGGCTCGCATCTTCAAATATTCCCATTACAGCGGCGTAGTTGACTGTACCTCGATCAATTCAGCGCAGGAGAAAGATCAGGTATAGGCTTACGGAGACTCTTGTCCAAGTACTGGAGAAAGTAACACGCAAACATCATTGGTACGATCATAAAATCAATTCGCTTGACAAGCGCCTTCTCATCCACGATGGCCATCTCCTCGCCCGTTTCATTGTGTCGAAGAAAGTGAAGTGCTCGATCGGCATCTTTGAATTGGCTCTTCTCAAGCACCCCTTCATCAACCGTTGGATTATTGCAAATCTCGTCTTGTCTCATAATGACTCCGGGACGCGTAACGGAATTATCGAAGGGTTCTAGCTGGCTTCGGTATCTCGAGCATGTCCTCTGAAGTACTATTTTTGAACTCCCGCCAAGAAGCCCAGAATTGGTAATGCTATATCCATCACGCAGTCAACCGGCCAGTGTTGGCTCGAAAAGGAAGGTGAAGAGTCAAAACTGTCCCCGCACAAAAAAAAGCGGTGATGATCGCTGCAGGATGCATGACGGTTGAAAATGCCAAGACGACAAGGTGGGGACAAGCGTGCCTTATCACAGCCAAGCAGCCTGAAGCTTTGGAATACCAAGTGGGGTAAGTTGTGGCCGAATATGCAAGAATGGGGTAGGCTGGAATCATTCGGTCGATAGAGAGACCTATCCTTCGCTATTGGAGGTGTGGCACAAGAAGATGAAGCCGCAGATTTAAGAATTAAACAGTCACGTCATGCATACTAGCCAATCAAAAATGATTAAGGTAAGAACGGCTGTTCTTCTTTGGGAAACCATTTTTTCTATTATTTATCATCATGTGCAAATCTAAAAGCAGCCCAGAGCACAACATGTAACCTACATTCAAGAACATGACTGCCCCTAAACACCACAATTCCCTTCCCTAAGATAAGCCCCACCGTGGCCGTCCTGCCTATCCGCAATGCGATCCGCTTGCTCCTTCTGCGCTCCTTCTGTCCCCTCAACCAGCGTCTCAATCTTCGTGTTCGCAAACTGACGCGCAGGCACACTATTCTCGAATAAGATATCTAACTCCGCATACGTGCGACCCTTAGTCTCCGCTATAATCTTGGTATCAGTTAACAAAAACATACCGATTCTATGTATGTACTTACGTAGCCTGAAGTATATGTAGGCAGTAAACAGCGCGTTACATCCGGCCCAAAAGAATGCTGCTTTAGGACCCCAATTCCACGCCAAGGGACTAAGTTGTCGGAAAGAGACGATGTTGACGAAGGCGATGTTAATTGCGTTGTAGACGTTTCGTGCGAGGATGATGGATTTGGCGCGGAGACGTGTGGACGGGATTTCGGACACGATGGTGTAAACCACGGGACCGATTGAGAAGTCTGCGGTGGCGGAAAGGAGTAAGACCATCGTTCCGGCGGCCCAAGATTCGGCGCTTGAGGGTTTTGGTGGGATGCCCATGCAACCGGTTATACTACACCGGAGTTAGAAATCCCATAACCTGTGGAGGAGAATTTTGGGGTTGCAGTTTACATGAGCAGCACGAACATAACGCACATCCCGCTGAACATCAGTGTCTTCCGACCGATTTTGTTGAGCACAAACCAACTTGCAATGGTCCCACAAGCACCGATGGCTGACTGCCCCCAGCTCAACTTGAAGGAATCTGAGGCCGAGATTCCAGCTTGCTCATAAAAGTAGGCAGATAGACCACCAAGCGCCGTGCCAGACATGGTTTGTGCAACCCAAGTCATACAAACAATCTCGGTTCGACGTAAATTGATGCCTTTGAAGCAGTCCCAGTATTTCGTGCCGGATTGCACTTCCTTCTCCATTTCGTCAGTGTACAGCATTACTTTTTCTACGTTAGTCATTCCAACCCTTTTGAAAATGAAGCAGTGGAGATCTCACAAGCCATTGCCGCATCTGCATCCCTCTGTGAGAACCCTGAGCTTCTTGCCAGCCGCTTCAAAGACTTCTCGGCCTGATCCTTCCTACCGGCACGTATACACCACCAGGGAGATTCGGGAGCAAGATAAGTACCAATACCGATGGGAATCGGCCAGATCCACTGCAAAGCGAAAGGGATCTTATACCTTTTACGTATTAGAGGCAGTATGGTCGTCACAAATCAGGCGTTCAACTTACCCCCATGTATCCTTCCGTGGCAAAAAAGCAACTAGCACACCAGCCTTGATGAACTGTCCGATAATCCAACATAAATTGACAAAGCAGGTGAGGTAGTGCCGAAGCGGCACTGGACAAACTTCTGCTGCATAAGCCGTGGTCATTGTTTGGAATACTCCCCAAGATATCCCTTGGAATACATTTCCAACCAGAAATATCGGAAGGGTTTCAGCATAGAAAGGAATGAAAATAAAGCCCGTAATGGAAACAAGCGCGGCAATGATCGTCCAGCGGTATCCGAAGCGGTCAGACAGTACACCAGCTACCTAAACAGTGTGAATTCTATGAAAGTTGTTCACAATTTGCGTGGATTTATACGAACCTGAAGACCGAGGATCTCACCGACATTTCGAGCTCCGTTGATTCCGTTCTGCCAGTCTGGTGGAATCTGTTTTGTGCCACCAGGAGCAGGGATACCGAATTGGTCTAGAAAAGCAGGATATGCGGCATCTTGGAAGGTTGTTATATATCGCCACCCTCTTCAACCCAAACACGAATAATTGTAGTACTCACATGATCCGATGACTGAAGTGTCGTAGCCTTCCATAATCAGGCAAGATGATAAAACAATGGACCAGCCGATAGCTTTAGGATAAACACTGAAGGCAGTTTTAAGGGTCATGCCGCGTTCGCGCTCATTTGCCGCATCTGCTTCCGCAACTAGAGTCTTCACTTTATGTTTTAGCCCATAGTTTAAGAGTTTTTAGATGTTCGTGAATACCATGAAATCCTCCACCCTCGCTGCAATCTTGCTCGCAATGGCTGCGTCGATTTGTGCATATTGACCTCGTCTGATGGCATCTCCAACATCTTCTGTAAATTCTGGTTTCTCGCTCATAGCAGCATCTTTATGGGTGTTAGGTGATTCAGCAGCATTTATTTCGACATGCGAGGGCGTGTCGTCCATTTCCGGGCGATAGGCAAGAGAAGGGTCGGCCATGTCTAAGGTTTCCAAGCATTAGTTGTCACCAAATGGAATTCCCAAATTCATCGAAACTGCGCTCCGAGTTGTGCAACTCTAAGTACAGTTGCTGAAACCCTTACCCGAAGAGCCGAAGTATCAGGTCTTTATGTTCCCACCGTGGGGGATCGAACTAAGATTGAGTGATTGGCAGGGTAATTGCCACAACAATATCGGCGTTCCAAGGTTGCATGCGGGGTGTTACACTGTCCAAGGATGTGCTCCCCACCGCCGCCTTTCCTCTTCGAAGTGGACGAGATGTTGCTTAAGGCAAGCTAGAAATTGGCGGCTTGCCGAATGATCATAACCATACCCCTCAAGTCTAAAGTCATTTCCACATAGCCCGAAATGCATCATTGAGCCAAGCTAAGCATGGAGAATGTGAGGAATATTTAGTATGCCTGAAAACGCGTGTAGGCATGCTTAGTACTGAGTCTATCGGAACCGCGCACCTGTAGTAATTCTGGTCTACCCCGCATGTTTGTGAAGGTCTATAACAGTCTAGTAACCTAGTTGGCAGCCCATTATCTTGCCACCATACTGCTCCCTTGTATCTGGTGCTATACTGCACCGAAGCATCCTCAATAGGGGCGTGGTGCAAAGCCAAACCCCTTCGGAAACATTTGTACTAGGCATCACTTCAAGGGGGAGTTAGTGCAAAGCAGGGGTAGCGTACCAGAACAGGAGTCCAAATTTGGTATAATCTTCGATGCAGCTGAGTCTGAACTATACTTCTTGAGATGTCGTCGCTGATATTAACTACTTTCCTGCTACCGGGAAGGTGATTCCAGCTTGCACATGAAAAACACGGTACTTGGGAATAGACGATGAACACACCCAAGAGATCACAAGCCACGGTGTCCAAGGTACTGACCGAAAGTTCGGCCTCGACCGGAACGGCTTCCAATTTGCCAAGCTGCCCGGAAGGAAAGAAACATAGAAACCGACGAGATAATCCTTCGTGAGTACTATTCAGAGCGTTTGAAACCCATTAAGTAGATGCAAGGTATCTGGATAAACGAACGCCGTGGGATGATTCTTGAGACACTGACACATTGATAGGACAGGTACATCCACAGTCCACGTCTTCAACCACGTCCTCGGCCAATACTCCTCACCCGACGAAAAAGGCAAACTCGATGAAAAGGGACACTGGAAAGAGATTCCCTCCGGACATGCCCATGTCGACTACTGCGACATCCCCGAACTGATGGAAGGCAAAAAAAGAGAACTCCCCCTCCCGCCCGAAATCGCAGAACTTTACGCGCCTAGTTCGCGCTTTGCATTCCTGAGCTCCTGAAGGCCTCTCAAGACCATGAAGAGAGATCCGCTGGCTGTCGCTGATGCAACAGCGGTTCCGGATTCGGACTACTAGTTAAGAGCACGCGTGTTTCCTAGTGGGGTCAAGTCGGGGAATTATGTCATGTCGCACGGAAGTTGAGAGTATCAGTATCGGCGGTATTATATGCACGAGATGCAGTTAGATGAGTTGGTGGTGTTTAAGGGGTATGATACCAAACAGAATCTTCCCGGAAGAGATGCCTTCATACGGCATTTGTTCTTCCGGGGGCGGAGGGTTTGCCGTTGAGAGAGAGTATTGAGGCCAGGATTGTGTGCTTTGGGGATTGGAAAAATGGGTAGGAAAGTCTAAAGAAACTTTTTTTCCCGATAACCACCAGGATTCTCTTTGACAGTTAACTTCAGATCATGGCTACAATACTCGAGTATGTTGGAACATTCTACGAAGAACTGAAACGAGGGGGCTGAACCATCAATTCTTTTGCGCAAGTTAGGGGATATATTGAGGTTTTTCAAAATGCGATCCTAAAGTATCTCAATTAGAGTGAGTGGTGGGTGCTGATGTATACTAAGTGCGTTTACGGATTTTTGAAGCTGCTTATTATAATATTTCGTCACGGGTCCTACATGAGAAGAGCGATTTGGAAGTTGACCCTGCTTCTCCTGCTTGACTCTATTTGGTGACTGCGGAGTTAAGGCGGATCGATAGTCGCATTTTCGATGATCGTTTGACCCTCACTAGTTCAAAATTGATGCTCCCGCACACTCTGGTGTAAAAGTTAGGCTCAAAGATGCATCTTGAGATCCGGAGAAATATGAAGCATGTCGATTAGTATTGAAAACAAGAGACAATTCAGAATCCAATCTTGAGCCCACAGCACTCTCTCACACACTTCTTTATCCCTTATATCTACTCTCCTGTCCGATATCCATTCAGGGATGCTCTGGCTTTCCGCTATCTGGACTGGTCGATGATTTCCAGTAGTTCACTCGGCCTCGAATAAGAACCTAACTTATGAGGTCTTAGTTGTAGGCTTATAGCTAGGTGAATATATTTCTCTATGGTCTCTTCCTCTCTCCTCCTGAGTATAAGGAAATGAGTAGGCTGGTAAGAGCAAGAGTAGAAACTGCACCTCCGATTATGATTCAAACACATAATCGGGTCTGATAATTGCCTAGTAATATTCGCACCAACGATTTTGTATAGACAATTAATGCATTTGTCCACTCCAGTGATGAATCCACCGTTATCGGAAGAACAGATATTGTGTTGGAAGTCCTGGTCCCTTTTTATGAAGCAATCCCTGATTGCATTAGAGATGGGATTGCAGTCAGCTTCGTAGGTTTTGCTAGTGACTGTGATATCGGGGGTTTGTTGGTCATCAAGCTAGTTCAGGATGCACCAGGTGATAATTGCTTTGAGATTAGTTTGGGGCCGACTAACTCTTTCAGTTGTATTCGTAGGAGCAAGTCTCTAAAAGAACGCCAGTTTCTCTCGATAAGTATCAAGAGGGACTGTTACTAAATAAATCCAAGACCGGTTAGTGCTCTTTACCCTGCTCGTCTTTGCTTAATCAAGCCTAGGCTGAGCTCAGCCTTGTTCCTGCTTCCCTCGAGCTTTCAGCTGTTTTCTGGCTGAAAGTTGAGCTACGGCGATTAATAGGAGGCGGCTGTATTGAAAGGCATGCCAAGTCATTTCCATCCTCAGCGGATGAACCTGAGCCGGCAAACGCAATGGTGATGAAGAGCACTAGCCTCTTCTTATCGCGGTTTCAGATCTGCCAAGAGATGTGGCTGAAGTCGTCCCCTAGCAACCAACATCTTAGACTCATCCACTCAGCTTGATCACCCTCTCATCCCAAACATCCTTTATCGAAGCCATCAATTAATCACAATGCGGGTCTCGACAATGCGCCCTCTTCTGGCGCTATGTGTGACTGTTACCGGCGCCGCGGCGCTCCAGGTTCCGCTCCTTCCCTCAACCAGTCAGATGCCGGTCCAGTCTGCGAGTGAGAGGAAGCCGCTCATCGACTCCTCGGCCCTGCAGGACCTCATCAGTGGCGACAGACTAATGGCTCGGGCGAAGGAGATGTTTGAGATTGCAAAGTTGGGGGAGGATGAGTACAATCATCCGACGAGAGTGATCGGGAGTCTGGGTAGGCTGGAACACGTGATTTATGAAAACCTCCATTTAATTAGGTGCAGGTCATCTCGGGACGCTGTCGTATATCTACGAAACCATACTTCAGCTTGGAGACTACTACACCATTTCAAACCAGTCTTTTCCGGCCGTTTCTGGAAACATCTTCGAATCTCGTCTGGTGCTGGGAAACGAGGTCCCCAAGTCTGCCGTGCCTATGGGTCTGACGCCGGCCACGAAGGACAAGCAACCTGTCCATGGAGATCTCATTCTTGTGGATAATGACGGCTGCAGCCCCTCCGACTATCCTTTCAAGGTTTCGGGAAATATTGCATTGATTCGACGTGGCGATTGCGCGTTCGGTACCAAGAGCAGACTTGCCGGCAAGGCTGGCGCTGTTGCTGCAGTGGTCTACAACTATGAGAAGGACTCCGTACAAGGCACTCTCGGTAACCCTTCGCCGTTTCACGTTGCGACGTTCGGTCTATCCGGAGAAGAAGCACAGACAATTATCAAGAAACTAAAGAACAAAGAATCAGTAGATGCAATTGCTTATATCGATGCCGAAGTCAAATCAATCTTAACCGTCAACATCATCGCCCAAACTACCGAAGGCGACCCAGACAACTGCGTCATGCTTGGGGGCCATTCTGATAGTGTCGCCGAAGGACCCGGTATCAACGACGATGGCTCCGGAACCATGAGTCTCCTCGAAGTTGCTACGCAGCTGACCAAGTTCACCGTTCACAACTGCGTTCGCTTTGCGTGGTGGGCAGGCGAAGAGGAGGGATTACTCGGATCCGATTACTACGTTTACAACCTTCCGCCGGAGGAAAATCAGAAGATTCGTCTCTTCATGGACTATGATATGATGGCCAGTCCGAACTTTGCATATCAAGTCTACAATGCTACGAATGAAGCTAATCCAGCCGGATCGGAGGAGCTGCGAAATTTGTACGTTAAATGGTACGAGGAGCGAGGATTGAACTACACCTTCATTCCCTTCGATGGTCGCAGTGATTATGACGGCTTTATCCGAAACGGTATTCCAGGTGGCGGTATCGCAACTGGTGCCGAGGGCATAAAGACCAAGAAGGAAGAGAAGATGTTCGGCGGGAAGGCTGGTGAGTGGTACGATCCGTGTTACCACCAGCTTTGCGACAATGTCGGAAATGTCAATGAGACAGCTTGGGTGGTCAATACTAAGGTATGTAGTCTTCCATCACAAAAAAGATATGCTGGTGGTTAACTCCCTGATAGCTCATTGCTCATTCCGTCGCTACATACGCTCGCTCGTTCGAAGACTTCCCAAGGCGTATGTCCGTCGCTACTTCGGTTGCCTATCGGGAACAGACGAAGTATCATGGTCCTAGGCTTTTCAATTAAATGAGCTTTCTCTCGCGTAAGTACTGTAGAGTTTGTTTGAGCTAGAGATATCCCATTGGTCTACTCTCAACACTCGAATTCTATCTCGCCGTCACACACTCACCTGTACAACTACATTTCTTAGCATCGGCATCAATGCCAATCCACTACTGTCATAAGTTTCGACTCGACTCAGTCGCAAAAGCACACCCGTGATGTTAACTCTAAAAGGTTGTCGCAAAAACATTCCATAAGCTATGCTAGCCTATGTTGGTTGGTCGTGCGGGGTACCCCATCTTGAGCCAGCGTCATCCACACCCTCCATACTAACTTGCGTTCGAATCGGAAGAGAGTCTGACCATGTGGAATCAGAGCCCGACAATGACATTTCTTACATCTTGCACTTATCCTTCCTTTCCTTTTCCTTTGTGAACGTAGGTTTTAGCACTCTCATTTTCCTTAAGTCACACTTACCTAGTAAATTTAGCCTCCCTGAATAACTATCCAAATGTCAACCCACACCTTCCCGCTCAAAACCCCTAATGGCCGCGAACTTCTCGGCGGCGATCTCCTCGCGCAGTCCCTCCTCGCCCTTGACGTACGCGTCGCCTTCGGTCTCCATGGTGGCCATCTCGATGCCTTCCTAATGGGATGTGTGGACATTGGCATCGAGCTCATTGATACCAGACATGAAACTGCAGCTATTCAAGCTGCGGAGGGCTTTTCCAAAGTGAGTGGGAAGACTGGGTGTTGTTTTGTGACGGCGAATAGTGGGTACGTTTATCTCGCAGCTCAACGATTCTCCGGGGGAGATTGAAGGGATCTGTGGGGATTTGGATATGAAACTAAAGAATATATATAGTTTTTGCAATGGACTCCCAGGGCTGGCAACAGCATTCGCAGACCGCAGTCCAATCCTCTGCATAACATCCTCGCCCCCCCTACGCGACGCGGAAACAAACGCGCTCCAAGGTTTCCATGACCAAGTAGTGCTATCGAAACCTATTACAAAATTCTGTCTTCGGGTTACCAGCGTTGGTGAGATCCCGCGGCTCGTGAGTCTTGCCTGGAGAACAGCGAGTGCAGGCCCCCCTGGACCCACGTTACTGGATTTCCCGATCGATGTCCTGTTTACGCCGGTTAGAGAGGAGGATGTGGCGTGGGGTGGGATAACGGCGCCAATGGTTGCGGTGCCGGGACCAGGTGGCCGGGCTGTGAGGGATGTGATAGGGATGGTGAAGGCAAGTGTGAGGCCGGTTGTAATTGTTGGAACCGGGGCGAAAGGAGTACGTGGCAACCCTGCCGTAACGGCACTTTCTCGTCCTGTTCTGCTGACACTGCTGACAAATCCAGGCCGTCGAGAAAACTATCTCCCTCGCCGAAAAAATCGGCATCCCCATCTTCCACACTCCCAAATTCAGCACCGCCATCCCGTTCTCACACCCCTTCTGTGCCGGCTCAGCCCTAACCTTAGGTCTTCTCACCGCAACCAACAAGCCGCAACCAGACCTTGTCATCATTCTCGGAGCCCGTACAGGCTTCCTACTTGGTGGGAGAGGCGGCGCCATCATCCCAACCTCTGACTGCAGAATCGTCCAAGTTGACATCGACGGCTCTGAAATTGGACGTTCGGAGCATGTGGATTTGGGTATTGTATCAGATATCGAGTTATTTACATCCGCGCTGTTGAAGGAGGTGGAAGCTAGCGAGAAATTTAGAGTTCCTGAAGAGTGGATTCGCACGGCATTGAGTTTAAAGTCATTCCGCGCGCCGCATAATGAGAAAGAACCGATTTTGGACACGACTAATGGCCATTTACATCCGTACCACGCGGTCAAAAAGCTGTTCCAGTGCATCCCAGACGATAGTATCGTTTGCATTGATGGTGGCGAATCGGGAGGTTGGGCATTGCAGTGTTTGCCAGAAGCGCACGCGCATTTGAGCATGGTATGTACAGGCTACCTCGGGTTTCTGGGGAACGGGTGGGGATATGCGCTTGGGGCTGCGGTTGCGGACAAGAGTAGGCTTGTGGTGAATATGCAGGGTGATGGGAGTGCGGGATTTCATATCGCGGAGTTAGATACTTACGCAAAGTTTGGGCTGAGGGTGTTGACGGTAGTTGTGAATAATAGTTGTTGGGGTATGAGCTGTGCGGGCCAGGAACTCATCTACGGAAATATTTCCGACGCTCGACCCGCTGCGAAACTCCGCCCAGAGACTCGATACGACATCATAGCCGAAGGGTTCGGCGTCTCTAGCACAATTATAGATGCTACGGAAACTATTCCGCCATCTCCATCAGATACCCGTAGGAAATCGTTCAAGGAGCTTGGCTTTAGCGAAGACGAGAAGAGCAAGAAGGTATTGGATGCGATTGGCGCGGCTGTGGATGAGGTGGTGCACATGGATGGACCAGGATTGATTGACCTGAGAGTAAGTCCATATCCTTTCCAGGATATGACGATGGGGATGGTGGGTGCGACGAATGATCCAGATGTGATCGTTGTGCCGTATTATGATAATTTGCCGAGGCCGTATTACAAAGAGAAGAAAAATGTGCGCATTAATTAAAGGAGGAACGTGGAACGTAATCCCTGTAAATATGATAACGACGAGGTGATTTAAGGGATATCAGGTTGGATAAGTGGATGATAATATTTTGTGCGACGAATCCCAACTCGTCCGTACATCGGATGGCTCTTAACTGCTCGGCCGAGTTGAATTCAATTCATCCTTCGCAGACTATTGTGACTCACTACCCGCCCCCTTCCTGGAGATAAGATGTTGGTGAAGTTGAGGTTCCTGGTAAGGATCAACAAAGTTCACAGTGCGTTCGGCCGAAATGCATCACGATAACACGTGGATGCGCGCCTTTCGAAATCGTTCCACGCCACCTCAATGCGTCGAACCGATTGGTCTACGGCCGAACTGATGGGCTTCTAAATTGGGTTAGTGGAAATCCCTAACGATGGCCTCGAGGTCCGTAGTCATGGGTAACTGCAACCTGAAAAAAATTAAATTTCCAACATGATTCTTTATTTAGAATAAGCTGAAATCTAAATATTTTCCTGCAAGACCTGCCTGTAGTCGATGCTATTATTGATGACAACAAGATGCCCTGCGCTATGCCGAATGCGGAGACGTTGGATGACATAACGTCCACTTCTTGTGGGATAGACTTGATGCAGGAAGAAGGCGAACCTAGTTCGTGGAGTCAGTACTTACCAAAGCCGAGAATCTTACGTTGTTTGACTAAAGCCTGGTTATCGGAGTCGGGAGTTAAGTAATAGCCGTCTAAGGGAGTCATTTCATTCGGGGAGCCGGATTTCTGTCTCACTGGTGGGCGAGTTAGTAAGTAGTGGGGATAGCTTTCTACCCCACTTAGTCTCCAGTTGCCTTACTAGTGGGCCGCAGTGGGCCGGCAAGTCAGTTCCTTAGTATATAAACGAGCTCGGAGAATCATCTAGTCCTTCAAAGCACTTCTATTTATTCGTCATCACTTCGCACTAAACAAAGAATCTAACATAGATTCCCTTGCCTTTCGAGCTGCTAAAATGGACTCATCATCTTGGAAAGCATATGGAAAGATCGACCCAGAGCTTGAGGCGGTATGTTAACACGGACCTCCTACCTCCCCCTGACTCCGTTGTACATGCTAAGCATTACAGATGGTCCCCAACATGCCCAATAGTACATTAGGCGACTATCCAGATGTGCCGTCGCTGCGTCAGGGAGTAATGGATCAGGTGATGGAAGGGATAAAGGCCGGGATATTCTCCATTCCTGACCTCGGCGGCATTCGCAAAGAAGAAATTCATATTCCGGCACGTGACGGATATTCCATCCGTGCTCTTCACTACCGAAGTGAGGGAGGAGAGACAGGCCCTGTGGTTGTGCTTTTCCATGGTGGAGGCTGGGTGTTTGGTATGCCGGAAATGTTTGAGAAACATGTGGTCTGGTTGTGCAAAGAGCTTGGATTTGTGGTAGTTGCTGTGGAGTATAGAAAAGCGCCAGAGGATATATTCCCTACGGCTGCTAATGACGCTGTTGATGCAGTGAACTGGGTAAGTCATTTCCGCCAATTTGGAGGATAGGACCATCTAACCACATTGGCTGTTGTAGGTTGGCCAGAATGCAGCGAAACTCGGCGCAGAGCCGTTCAAGGGGTTCATCGTTGGTGGCTCCTCGGCTGGAGCTAATCTCACCGCCGTTGCGACTCACGAAGCCGCCGATGCAAAACTCTCCCCTCCAATCACAGGAGTCTGGCTCCAAGTACCGTGCCTGGTGCATTCGGATGCTGTCCCAGAGCAGTACAAAGCGCACTACAATAGCTATGAAGAATTCAAAGACGCCATGGTTCTAGACCGGAAGGCTATGAATCTCATGTTCGGGGAGTCGAACACTCTATCATAAGAAACACGTACTGATTGAGCTATACAGACAATTACAAGCCGGATCCCAAGTCCCTGCTTTTCAATACTCTTCTCCGGTCGGGTCATAAGAGTCAACCGCCGACGTATTTTCAGGTCTGTGGGATGGATCCTTTGAGAGATGAGGGGTTGATCTATGAGTACGCTTTGAGGAAGGATGGAGTACCAACAAAACTTGATATATACCCTGGCATTCCGCACAGTGGTTTAGACTTTATGCCATTTCTATCTCAGTCGAAGAAAGGAGTGGATGATCTGAAGTCTGGTTTCCAGTGGTTGCTGAGCAAGAAGTAGTACTTTTGGCTGCGGCATCGCGGGGCCAATACGGGGCGTGAGGAATATTCGGTACTTTATCTGGTCTACTAAATGAATGGAGGAAGAATCAATGACTTTGGCTGAAAGGTAAAGACTCTCAGTGGTCAAACTCATCAGTTTTGTCCAGCCTAGAGGCCCCACAGCGTGAATGCACTAAGTAAAGTGTCGATCGAAAATTGCCTCAAGTTATACGAATGCTGGTACTGGCATTTGATGCATGCTGAAGAATCAGTGGTGGAGGAAGGAAATTGGAGTGTGGCTGTACGAGTCAACTTGACCTCAAACTCTACGCTCGATGTGATATGCTTCTTCAACAGGTTCTCGGGGCACTACCTCATCCACGTCGACATGGTGGTGGAGTGATAGCGTTTCGGATGCTGTAGACGTTTGCGAGGACATTTTTTGCGGGAAAGAAGGTTACCAAGGTCTAGACTTTCGTATGGGAGAAATTGGGGGACCAGAGAATTTGGTGAAGGTAGTTCAGATAATATTAACACGAGCTGTAGGCTAATGGAGGAAGAGACTTCTCTAGCGCGGTGAGGATGAGGAGTTGGACGTAGGCATCTTCGCAGTTAGTCAGGGTGTAGGATTTAGGCAATGAGTCGCAAACGGCGAGTGTTAGACATCCACTGCGGGTATTCCCAACCATTTCTGCCCGCTGAACATTGAATCGTGCCTCGTGACTACCTGCAATCTCCACCGTGAAGATTGTAAAATTCAGTCAAACGTATTTTGTTGCCAACACACAGACAGGGGCGGACACTAGAGAAAGGGGAGAGAAGAAAAAATCGATCCATAGGTCTGTACCAATTCGCACACTAAGAAAAGTAAGTCGTAGGTATCCAACCCCCAAAAAGTTTCCATTCCACTTTCAATCCTCCAACCCAGCCAATCAAAATGCCTGGTGGTTTTCACAGCGCCTTCCTATTCCATTACCGTGCCTTGTGCCTAAAAAAGAAATCTGAATAAGGAATATTATATCAGTCAAACAACTCCAAACCTCTATCGTCCTCTTCCATGGTCGCAATCAAGCCGATGTCGAGCGTATCTAAGTTCTCTTGGCTAGGCTCTCGAATACCTTCGCCAGAGCAATAGACGGGCATTCTTTTTCGCTAGACTCGGCTGGCACGTTTCTTGAGGAAACGCCGGCGTCTTCGTGGGTTAGAGGAATAGACCGCGTTTGAAGACACTGGTTTAGCCAATGGGTTCATTGGAGGTCGTGGGCTTCCTGGAAATGATACGCTTCCGTCAGGCAGGACCCGTTGTTCTACAATGGTAGCGCTCTGGAGATTGTACGTTTTACGCGCTTGGATGCGACAAACGAGGCAGCGTACGAGGCCTTCAGGCATGCATTAGAGGATCTACCTTCAGAATACGAACGAGAAGAAAATAGCAAGGTTGCGCCTAAGGTCTTTGCGGCTACATGGTGGGTGGTAAGGCAAGAGTGGAACCAAAATGAGAGCTATTATCGCGATACAACACAATGAGGCCGGCTTAAACAATACCAAACCTGCGCAAATACCATCCAGTCATCCTAGGCTCCCACTCAGCCATCAAAACAGCTCAAAGTCCAGATCCTCATGTTCCTCTTTCATCACCTCGCCATCCATAATCCCATAAACAAACGCCTGGCCAACGGATGTATTTCCCCTCTCTGTTCCCCTTTCCCTTAGTACATGTGGGACCTTTGCTCCATGGAACACGCATATCCTATCTCCGGGCTCCATATTCCTGGGGCCGAGGCCGATATAACCCTTCGTGGTGATGAAAGGTCGAATAGGGGCCCCGGTGGCCATGCTGAGGAGATATATGTTTGCATCCAACGAGGCATTCTGGACCATGGTGAGTGGCCCTGCCAGAGAATCTCTTTTTTCAGCGTTCATATATGCTCCCATAGCTTCGAATGTAGGCAAGCACTGCATGTACCGCTCTCTGCTGATACGTGTCGCTCACTGAATAAGCCCATCATCATCGGCTGAAGTTTCGCTGTCCCATATTGGTATTCTCCAAACAGCCTCGCGCAGTTGCAACTTGGAATATGTGTTGTAGCCACTTTGCGCCGACATTTCACAAAGTTGCTGGATATCTCCGACGAGCGAGGCATATAGACGCGATGTATCATCTGGGACCGTACTCATATTTCGGGGATACGCCGACATGACATGCACCACCTCATCAACGTATACGCCAAGTAGATGCACTGAATAAATGTCATGTCCTAGATGGTGGTCTTGCATTGTTGAAAAAGTCGCGTCAACGGAGGTATCAGCGCCCGCTGAGAAGAGGCGGTTGCCGAGGATGTGGTGCCCGGCTCGGCGTGTTTTCCACCATATCGATGGCAGCAGAATAGTGCGCGCCCAGTTTGGAGCCCAGGAAGGGAGCTTGCGTGGATCTAGGTGCCTACGACTATCTCCCCCTGTCTCTAGGCCCGGCTCTGGTACAACTCCCTCGCCCACCTTCCTCCCCTCGCAAAGCGCTAAAATGTCCAGATGTCCCCCTCGAATAAGCTTCTCTGCAATTTCAACAAACACCTCATGACATTCTTTCTGATAATCAGTCGTCAACCCCAGAGCCTCAAAGTCCTGTCCAGCAAGCCCCGCAAGCGCATATATCCTATCCCTATCGTCCGACGCCCCAAGGACAACACCTCCTTTCCAGTGCGACCGACAGTGTGTCATACAAAGAATCTCGTACAGTGTTGGCAACTTCCGCCGCTTCTCTTGGTGTAGCTCGCGGTACACATACATGTACATGATGTGTTGGAAGTTAAGGGCGTTCGCGGTGGTTTCGGGGCTACCGGGAAGTAGATTAAATCCGGAGCCGGAGAAACTTTGGAGAATGATAATGAGTGCAATAAGGGTAGATAGAGACTCGGAGTCTAGTTTATGGCGTCCGGATTGAAAGAAGAGACATGGTGCTAGGACGAATTCCTGGAGGATCCACACGCGGTACCACCAGGAGCAAGAGACGACGAAGGACGCGAACTTCGAAAGAAATTCCTCTAGAGAAGGGAAGATAGATGTGCCGTCTGAAGTGACCTTGATGACATCGTTGAAGAACTGCAGGATGTCGGCTTCCGTGTCGAATTCGGCGTAGTCGACGAGCGCATATTTGGGTGGCTGGGGCACGTTGAATCGCCGGCGGAAAATCGTAGAGAAGGAATACAGAGCGTTGGATATAGGCACGGTATGTTCTGTCGCCGGTCCAAGCCAGATCATAACGTTTGACGCGCCCGAGTAAATGGACCGCATCCTTGGCACCTGGTCACTCTTCTCTTCCACATCCTTCTGGTTTATACAAATCGCGTCTATCCAGATCGCAGGCGCAATGTAGTCGCCTTAATGCACTATCTAGGTTCACTCCTACTTGGAATTCGGCGCCATTTACTACGATCGCCCTTTTCGCACCCGTCTCTTTACCCCAGACGTATGACAGCGCCGTGTAGGAGGGCCTGTCATCTAGCGATACAATTTCTAAATCGAATTCCAAGGATAGATTTGGTATGACAGGTTTGTTTTCATTTCCGTTCAAATACTCTTCGTCTTGTGGAAGTACGTAAGGAGTATCTGACACTGTCTTTGGACGAAGCAGGCGGATCTGATTTTGCAATGGGTCAAGTGGATGATATCCGAAGGCCTCCATTGGAATCAGCAGACCCTGTGAAGTACTGGATTAAAGAAGCCGATACGACGGTATGGATGCTGTGTATCGAGGATCATGATGAGGAGAGGGGCAGTCTGGAAGAGTTGGGGAGTTGGGCTGAGCGGCTGCGGCTGCAGTTGCGGCCGAGGGTCAGCCAATCATGCTTTCCCATGTCCACAGAAATGTAACGAATCCTGTGACAAGATTCTGCATAGATTGACAAACGTCCTCTGGTCGGAGTCACAAAAAAGGAACATTTCCATCTTTTTGTTCTTCACAACATTCTATCAATCCCCAATCAGCCTTCCGGCGTACTTAGATACCGCTCGAAGACGATAAGATGTTAGCTATGTTTCGTGCTGCAGGTCTTGCTCTTTGATTCAGAGATCGGCGCTGTTTGGTAATGTCGGAGAAGTATGCTAGACTTTGATGGAATCTGCGTGGTCGCCTGTGCACTGATGATAAGGGATATGTGTGTATGCGTACTTTAGACATTTGAGGAAGGCCTTCTGCGCAATTACCAGGCAAAGGATTGATTCCAGCAGAATAGTTATCCTATACACACGGCATTTCTGTCGCGCGAGTTTCTTGCAGAACACTACATCTGATTCATTGATTTCCCTCTATACTTAATAGATCTCAACCCAATCGAGCACCTCCAGTGGGTATTGAAGAGGGTATACCAGCTCTACCCTGAACTAGCGACGATTGGGAGCTCTGCAGAGGAATGAGAGAGGTTCTGCAAGGTGGTAAAGGAGCTATGGCTAAAGATCCCTGCTTTATTAATCAAGAAGCGTATTTTGTCTATGCAGCACCGCCCAGAAATTCTATGGCATGTAAGAAGCTAGTGGACAAAATATTAAACTATACACAAATTATGCACAATTCATAGAGCCCTCAGTCGTGAATTTGTGACTTCTGGTTGTATAGCATGGGGGTTGGAGGCTAATGTGAAAATGTTAGAATCTTGTATTCAGCTATGGGCGAACCGAAATTTTAGTATAGTGCTGTTATAAAAGGCCTACTTCTACTAACAATGTAAAGAAAGCGGTTGGAATTTGTGCTCAACGTATCTAGCAGTAGCTAACGTAACTCAATGAACCTAACGTATAAGAGTGCATGTTGCGAGGGAGAAATGCTACGGTAGCATGTCTGAGAGTGATCCAAAAAACATGAAATTCCCAAAGATTTCCATCAAGAATCACATTCCTCTAATCATGCATTCGCAGTAACATCCGTGTCCTGGGTGGTCGGTTGCGGGTTTTCCAGGCTCCAGTATCCAATCAAGGTGGGGACATAAGAACTGTACACACTACCTAGGTCTCTCACCTTGACATTGTATTGAATGGGGTGATGAATTCCAAAGTATATCCGGGAAGCTCTGTCCAAAGGAGGTTCGCCTTCGACACCAATGATGGGGATTGGTGCCTTTTCCAACCCGGTCTCTCCAGGTAGCGGCGCTGGAGTACTGCCCCACGTGTAAGCAATGGCATGCTCTTTAGGACGAACGCCGGACTTCATTGTGCCTTGACCACTATAGGTGAATATAGGACTAAGTCTGTCAGCGATCTAGCCAGGCAATCAGTGGATAATGACGGGATTGTACTGACCAAGCGAAGCAAAATTCGGTCTTGGCCCGAACAACCACGAAACGCCGTATTTGTGTATGCACGGCCTCGTCGTATTTTACATAGGAAATGGCGGTATTGTAGTCTGTGACTGCAGTGGATCCCGCCGCCTCGGTGAATAGAACTGCGAAGACCTGAGTGAACTTAGCAAAGCATTGCTATGCTTCAGGGCCGCCTTAACTTACTCTACCTTCTACGAAAAATCTTCTTGGTTTAATATTATATCCTGGTAATGGTTAGATCTTTTGGTTGTGGATTGAGAGAGTATGGCGAAATTTAGACGTAAATCATACTTTGATCAAGCTTCTCAGATTTTCTATTCGATAAATTGGGATAAGAGGCTTCGACGGGTAAGCCTTCGCCTTTTGCAAGGACTATTTTACATTAGATATGTCATAACGCTGTGGCTTGGACATACCGGACTGTTGGTTCGTGGATGTTGCAAAATCCCTTCCAATGGACTGCGCATGAGCGACTGGTTGCGAAGAGAAGGCGAGCTGGTAAGTTGCGCTGGGCATGTGGTATAAATCTGTCTCATTAGGTGACTGAGTAGGCGTAGGGTTCTGGCTAGGCGTATATGATGTGTGACCTGTGACAATATCTTGATACGGGAAAGCGCCAGAGGACTGTGGTGGATGGGACCTTAGATTTAGTATTTGTAGAGGCGCATCTGATGCAGAATTAGCGCCTAAGGTGCCTAGGTGTCTCGACGAGGCGACCTCCTGATAAGGAGTTCCTGACGAGTTGGCATTGAAAGCAAAGGGCAAATCTATGTTGCTCTGTGGAGTAGGCTGACCTGATGCTGTGGTGGGGGATTGCGAGGTTGGTGAAGACTGGACATGGGAGTCGCGTCTTGTACTATGAAACGTCTGTTAGCTCAATAATAGGAATTCCTAATATAAGCGCACTCTTCTGAAGCCCAACAGTAGAAAATCCATTGCCCTGTTGCCTGTCAAATCTTCTGATTACGTGGCCTTAGACGAGAGCGACTTACCGCCATCCCAAACCTGGTAGAACTCTCTCTGGTATTGGTCCCAATTTCGTCGCATGTGAGTTTGACCAGACATGATCACAGAACTGCCACATGTCCTAGGGTCCCTTCGTGTCCCTCTCCTGGCCACATCAGTCCGCCCATATTTATGAATCAGTCGACGGGATGCGGCTCTGCTGCATTGATGGAGAGCGCAGTAAACGCGGAGTCGTCGAAAGTAATATCAGTGGCGTTGATACTCACCGTCTCCAAAAAAGCCGACCAGCTGAGCGTTGCAGAGCATGGTGGAGAGACCGGGGTTGGATAGGCTGAACAGGAACATGTGGTGTGGCCAAGGCCCACCGACGGCAAGGGCCGGCCGTGCGCCCTGTTGCACAATTCCAGTGCCGCTTTAGCATGAAGACCCCACCTCCGTGCGTATTCCCGGCAGTCCTTGCACTGCAAACTGCTCCAACGCACTGGCGTGAGGCAGCTTTGATGCATGTCGTGGCTTAACGAACTGAAAACGATATTACTTACTCTGCCCCATGCCTCCCCGAGTTCACCCTTCTCTCGATCCCAATACCATTCGTACATGGGTGTTGTCGATACCACACCAGCAACCACAAAGCTTCACTTGGATCTCTTCCAGTTCTGAGAGTTCAAATACTCAAATCGCTATGTACCCAGCCCTACCATCCCTTTGACACCTTTGAGGCTGACATAACTACAGTATTACCACCAATACACAATGTTAAACTAGATTCTTATCCTGGCCGCCTCGTGACAGACCACGTGGAGCTACTGTCTTTCTTCTCACCCTGTCCCGTGTCGAACTTTGGGACCACAACACCGCCTCAGGAATGCAACGAAAAGCCACATACCCAGATCATTTCTTCCCATCATGCCGGCGCTAGGATGGAGAAACCAACTGAGTCAGTTTTGGATCCCATGGAAGTGGGCGATGAGTTGTCAAGGTTCCCAACTGCTGGCCAGCGTCAACTTCAATCCGGCGATGGTGTCAGCCAAGAGTCTCTGCACTACCTTCATTCCCCCAGCCATAACAAAGAACGAATAGACATGATTGAGTCACAACAAGATGAACTTCGCGACACGCGCGACGAATTACTTGGGTCAAGATTCAAACTTCAGTTTAAGCGTAAGGAGCTCCGCAAAGTCCGTCAAGAAGCAAGTGTAAAAGAAGGGTCCTTGTTCAGTCAGCTTCGACAATTTCGACAGCTGCTTGTTGATAAAGGCATTGATATCCCGGAACAAATAGAGAATGTCTACTCCGAAGCGTCGGATCTTCGGGATCGCCATGGAGAGCTCGAAGATGATTACGACCAGGCTGAAGCTGAATACAATCTTCTCGAGTGGAAGTATACCCAAAAAGAAACAAAGTTCATCGACAGCTTGGCAGAGGACTGGACAACGACATATGCGTCATCAGAGCGTGGAGAGAAGAATCGGGAAACTGAGGACTTGACACGCTTTGCCCTTGGGGTTCCAGAGGTCTGGGATGGTCCCACACATTTTTCGGGACTTGGTCCAATTGTGGCCTCAATTCCACTTCCAAAGATTATTGACCACACTGGCTCGGTGGTCCCTATGGCTGTCTCACTGGATCCTATGATACAGCTGGGTTCCACTTCTTTACTTGAATCACCTCGTGCAACTTCCATGATAGATCTTGCCCCCCCATCCCATCGCAATGAAAGCGTTTCTCTGCTTCCTCATCCCACTAGTGAAAATGATCTTTTTCAAGCGCGATTGGCTTGGGCAGATGCTAGGAGACGTATAGACTCATGGATCTTCGAAACTTTATCATGCTCTCGTCTTCAAAAGGCGCGTTTGAGGAGCTTGCATTCTCGAGATGAACTGGATGACTTCTCCTGGTGGAACCTCGTTATTGAATACTGGAGCTTGGATGATTCAGATAGCCCAATTCTGGACCTGGAAGTCCGACGCTCCTTAACGACCCGCGAGACAGCAAGCCCTCCAGTATCGTCCCCACCAACAAGCATACTATTTGGGAATTCTGGCCCTGATAATCACGCTCAACGCTCGGACCTTCCCATGACCCTCTTACCAGAAGAACGAGTTGTGGATGCGCTTAATGCACCCACTATGCCCACAATCATCGAACCCAGCGACCTCCTTGACGATATCCTCGAGCCCACTACTGGACAAACCTGTATCCTCGAATCATCTAACAAGGAAGTCGAAGCATCAAAAGCTCTTGCACCCAAGGTGGACTCAGCGGTTCCTGAGTTTACTGAAATAGACCATGGACACTTCTTCGACTGAATAAAACCCAATGCACCACAAGATGACTTTCGATCTGATTATTTCCCCTTTAATCAATGAAACCTTTTGATGGAGGAACTGAAGCGAAGTAAAAAAGAAATAATAAAATAGTTACACAGTCGAACGATTCGATGCGGGAAACGAAGGGGTGTATAACTGAAGTAGAGGCGTTGGTAACAAGGCTCTCCCCAACTCCTAAACCGGAATGCAACCATTTACAGCTCTCGAATGCGCGGGTCAGGAACATGTAATACATTTGGCTCCAAATCCGCCTCCACGTCTAAATTCAGCGGTGGATAGAATGCACTGCGATTCGGTCTGAACGCAGCTTCATCCAGAAAGAGATGCATCCGCGACGTCGCCTTTCTCTTGGTTTGGATCAAGAAGTCTCGGAAATATGGATTACATATGCTACGACCATATAGTGATCCTTCTTGATGCACTCACAGCCCTCTTTTCCCTAGCCCAAACCCAACCCCACAGAGCATCTTCACCCAGCTTCTATTACCTATGCAAGCCTAGATAATTTGTAAAATTAAGTTATTGGATACCCCATACAAACTTAACTGGGTGGCACGCGGGTTCTTCCATTTTTCGGATTGGTTCTTGTCATTGGAGTTCTGCCGGACTTTTCATTTGGATATCCTTGGTTGTGTCGATCCCAGACTTTACCACCTATTTGTTTGTTTGTTCTAACTTCTTTCACGGATTTTAGATAACCATTTTGGTCTTAGGATGTCAAGGTTTAAAACGCTTCTTCTACTTGTGTTGCTAAGCTCGAAACATCTACACCACACAACCTGATCTAGGCATATTTGGGTTTAGCGTTTCTCCTTCATTCAGTTCAACTTCAACTCGATATAATTTCGACATGTCAGAAAGGGGAGCTCAATTGCAAAGCTTGAGCGGGACTGGTCTAGAGAAAAAATTAACTTACGATTCTTTTTCGCTGATATGAAGCTTGATGTTGGTTCTGAAGACTGTTTCCACTTGGTAAATTTCGTGCTTGTGATCTCCTAGGTTGGATTGGATATTAATCCATATGTTTGTTATACCTTAAAATCGACCTGAGGCCTCCCTCAATCTATTATTACTACATGAGTGCATTTGGTTTTGGTTTGGTTCTCCAACCTTCGGCGCCCACTTGTCATCTAAGAGCCGCGACGACCTTTTCCTCTCCCCCTCGTTGCCTACCAGCGACGACTTGCACATCGGCCTTTGAGTTAAATTGGCAATACTCTTGCCTTGTTTTGCCCTGCATTTCTTTGAAACACTGGAGACCGGTTTGCCATATCATAGGTCAATTTTGAAGGACTGGTTACACCTTGTCCCTGTAACGGCAAGGCTGCTTTCATTGCGGGTTTTCTGACGGTACTTGATTTCTTTTCCCGCCTACTTTGTGCACCTTGAAAGGCACTGGCCAACTTCAAGCATCCTAGAGCGCTGTCTGTATCACGGCGCACATATGCATCCATTAGATGCCATCCAAGTGTCATTCTGATGCAGCCTGCCGCACCTTTAGCACACCGCAAATGTCTTAAAGGCTGCGCACCAAATTTGCAGAAACGATTGGGTGAAAAATCTACTTGTTCCCTGATCCCTACCGTTACTTATCATTAATAAGCCATGCCTTACAGCACCTGAGGAGTAACATTCACAGCTGGAAACGAAGAAATACCCAGCTACGCCTGCGCGCACTCTGCATATCATCTTATTTGCAAAGAACCTTCTTTGAAGGAACAAATGGTGCTACCGCGGTCGGTGGGAAGCTGAATTAGCTTAGCCGCTTTCGTAAGACGGCTCGGAAAAGTCGTCCAATCTATGAAGACGAGACGAAACCGAAGGAAGAAGGCCTCAGGGCGGCGTTGAAAAGGCGTAACTCGTGGGCGGACAGACACCCTGGGATTAATTGGAAAAGCGGAAAGTGCTACGGTTCTTTTGCCGGTCTTGTCGACTCTGCCGCCTACCGGAGCTAAATTTTGTGACAAATCAAGTTCTTAGGAGAGGATCCAAGGTAACTTCGAGGTCATGGTCTCAAAGAAATGAGTTTGTTCAGTCGTGAAACGCGAAAAGAGGGCCTAAGCTATATATTTTGACGACTAACTCTCTTGAGAACTTCATGTCAACCCTTCATGCCTCAAGCAACGTCCTTCAACCCAAAGATTGTCTCACTGCGCCCGACTGCACAGACACCCGTGCATCCGCAGGCGATCCCTGCTGCCCTGTCAAACGGCTCAGACCCCGCTTTGGGTCCCTCGCGTCATTCCGCCATCCTGAAATCCAGAGTCCTTTCTGAGCCATTTCCTATCACAGCCACGTTATCGGATATGCTCGTAATTTTTACTAAAAGCAAGATTTTTTTGCAATTTAGACGTCGAATGAAATGTCACAGGTGGAAATTTCCAGGGAGCGCCAATCATAGCCTCAAGAGGTGAGGCTACGCGCGTGCTGATATATGTCAAACGACGATACTGACAGCACGCCACCCCACTCAAGCAACAGGTCATTACATTGAGTCCACCGAACTCTGGGTCACCTCTTCTTTCAGCTTGGTCCTTTGAAACTACGGGGTTTCCTTCGCGAACCCGGGTCCGGGTCACCACCCCTTGTGGCGTCGCGAAGGCTTCACCGCGCAAGAAAAGTGAGGCGGACGACCCAATCAGCTAGAGTGCTACTATCCGACACACCAAGTCGAGGGTAACGTCTTCAGCGGCGCGCGCACGCTCAGTGTGCGACGCGGACTTGATGTGATGGCTTAGGCTAATATGCATTGTAAGCATGGATGGTTGGTTAGGCTGTGATAAAGGTGAGGCTCAAAATCAGGGAGGGTGCCGAAAACTAGAAGAATGAATGCGTGTGGCTTATTGAAATGAGCAAATATAGTGAGACCCTCTGCGATGCACAGAGGAGGCAACAAGCCATCACTAGGATTGTAGAGCCACCCGTTCAGCTGTATTGTAGCTTCTTGGGAGATGTGGAGGCATGCTTCCCACCATCCGAGATGTTGAGGAAAATTCGTGCCCAACCTGCTACATGAAGGTTGGCATGGAATGGAATAAGGAAACCCATCACGATTTTTGCCCCACATTTTTTTCACAGGATAATTCTCATACCCTACTTTCATTCAAGGTTCCGGGGTTCAAGATGTGGAATGATCATGTGACTTTTAATGCTGCACACCTACCCACCTAGTTATGTAGGTGCTCAGACCGAGCACAGCCAGCGTTGTCCTGGTATTCTTTAGATTTCATGCGATACATTTAGCACTGTTGAACTGGACGAGATACTGAAGGTAGATAATGACATAGGAATTTTCCTTCATTATCAGAAGCAAAATATTTCCTTTGTACGACTATTCTAACTCTATGGCTAGTCATTTTCAGTTCTGCAGTAAGCATTGCAACGCCGATCCCTTATTTCCCAACACCGCAGCACAACGGCTGCCGGCACAGCTATTTTCGCGGCGGAAACTCGGAACATATTTTACGCATCCGGTATGTCATGTACACAGCACATCTTGATGCTTTGCCATATTCAGCGTCGCAATAATTAAATGTTCGACTAAGCCTGCGCTACTGCCGTATATGATAGGCACTCTAAGATCAAATGGATTTCATGGACCCAGTAACTGATAGGCGGAATTCTCAATTTTCCTAAATATCTCGGCTTCACAGCCTGGTCCCTAAAAACCTGTTTGCCTTTTCGTTGGTATTGTTTGCCTATTTTCAAGACATATGTGATAATACCCTCCGCTGTAAAGGCAGCAAGCCGCAATTATGGTGAACACACGCGCCACTTTAGCACATGATTGGAAAAGATCCCACGCTCCACATTTAGTAGGTAACACATAGTTACAATTAGCGGGGGGGTTTATCGACCCACACGATAATCACTCTCCCTTCAAGGGCGAACTTCCTTTTCACTTCTGAAGTCCATGCTTGCACCTTTCACAACTTAGTAGATGTAATTTGTTGGATATGTGCAGTAACTTCTTCTATTGCATTTAAGGTCTCTAGCAGCAATTCCTCATTTCATGCCACGATGAGTAAGTTTAAATTTTAGAGGCTTAATTTTAGAGAAAGAGATCGACATCATTCTACCCTCTCTCCCGCGCCATTACGCGCTTTAAAATTCAACTTACTCTCAACGCGAACCAGAGGAGACACCACCCAGTTCGGATAAGTAAGCGAGGCCTTTAAAATTACTTACATTAGTTTCCATAGTGGGGGCATGGCAGGCGGATGGAGCACGCCCGGCATTAGAGTGAAGGACCAGCACGTGGATATTAGCCTCGATGTACCCTTGTCGTCAAATGCAGCGGCATTAGACCCACTTGGTAAATATCACGAGAACCTCGTAAATACCTCTATGCACGTTGAATGATTGATGAAATCGATGAAACAACATTTGTGTACAAGGTGACTAGTTATGTTTATTATATGGAGTATTGAAAGAGAGAGGGCAACCGAGAGTTTTCATCTTGATTGACTTTCCAAATATTAAAATTTAGTTAACTAGGTAGGAAAGAATCAGTCAAAGGGGATACAATCACAAGCAAAAAGGAAAGCGCCTGCTATATTGATACCAGAAGCATAAAGTATTGCTTGTCGCGTTGTATTGCCCCTTGAAATAAAATATGAGATCTATGCATTCACAGCTATGCCCTTTGCCTATAGGACTTGGGGGTGTAGTTCCCTACCCCTTGTAGGTCCAGCGTGGCCAACAGTCCGTAGTACGTAACGTAACTACGTGAACGTAGTAATCACGTGAGGCGTACAAAAGTAGTCAAAATGTGAGACATAACTTTTGTACACTAAATTGCTAAGTACGTCCTATAGTACAGGTTAGAGAGGTTATATTTTAGGAGATTTCCCTCCTGTTTTTAGACCCTATTAGCTATTGCCTTAGGAGCTTTGTTTAAGGTCACGTTTTAGAGTAACAATTAGACTCTACGTTTTATAGCACAGTAGCTGCTTATTAGAGTTGTCCTAACAAGCTAGAGATAGAGGGTAATAAAGAGGAGGATCTATAACCTTACTAGCACAAGCTTTCTAGTAGCAAGTATTCTATTAACATAAGCCTTCTTATAGGCTTAAGGTTATATAAAAAATAGCAGAAAATAACAGAGCTTTTATAATACTACAACAGCTACATTAAAGACCTCTTTATAGCTAAGAAGGAATCTCTACTATTCTAATTACCTTTTACTTAGTAGCTTAAAGTTAGTTGTTACTTCTACCTTACACTTTTTAAAATTGCCCTTAATTTCCTTTGTATACCCTTAACAAGCTGCAACTGTAAGAGAGCCTTCTCTAGAGGCAAAAGAACAGTTATAATTAATAGAAACTGCTTAGCAGGTTATATAATTAAGGCTTTACAGTAGCTCTAAAAGAACTAGTTATGTTATAAGGCTGTAAAGAGTAAATTAACTACTTTAGAGGACTTTATCTAGGCTAAAAAGCTTTTCTTAAAATAATTTTAACCTAGACTAACAAAACTTCTTATAAAAAGTATAAAAGTATAAGGATTTTAAGAAGTTACTGTTATGTTATGTACTTGCTAATTAATTTACTGCTTACGTACAAAAGTACTACTAAATTAAGAAGTTACTAGCAGAAAAAAGCTTAAACGTAACGTACTACGTACTGTTAGCCACGCTGTGTAGGTCCTTATTGGAATCTACTAAGTAAACTATTACATATTTCTAACAACGAAAAGTATGGCTTCTTATGCGCGTGGTTCCGTCCTATGGGAACAAAATTCGGTGACCCTGCTGGCTCGGCCTGCCAAATCCAACAAGTCTGCATCACTTTAGCAAAGAATATTAGGAAAACCCTCCTACTAAGTTTCAACCAACTTAGGAATGAAACGCGCTAAATAAGATAGCCGCACATATTTTGAGCTTTCGTTGGGGTAATGAGTTTACCTTTTCCCGAACAAAAAATGGAAAAGGGTTCGCTTTGACTCGTTGACATCCTATCAGTTCTCAGAAGCGTATCGGAATTCTAAAAGATGGTTAATAGCTTGCTTTCTAAGCTTGTGCCGTTCTTCGTCCTTATCGAGTTCCATTTTCTGACGGATCCCTGCATTCAAATCAGAATGCAGAATTTCTTCGCCTCTGAGGCTGTTCTCAGGCCGTAACCAATTAGAAATTCCAATCGTGGATCTTAAGGTTCTACTCATAGGCACTATATGTAACGTCTACTTACTACACCAGGAGCCACTGATTCCTCCGAAACTCTATATAAGATGATATACTCTAACCGTTGAAAGGGGATACCAAATGAGTCTCTGATGGAATTAGTTTATTTTTATTACTTTTCCTCTCGCGAAAGGAGAATAAACCCAAATTCTCAGAATCGTACTTCTCCACAGCAGCAGCGGAAGCTTCACTGTTTAACATATCACCAGTCCCATACCATTCCATTCGCATACCCCCTACATCACGAAACCAGCCGCATCGCCACTCTTGCCCTAGGACCATGCTCAGTCTGAATGCCATCCAAATTCTCCTCCGGTATCCCTAGCTACAAGGTTTCGGGGATCGAGGAGTAAGAAGCTTAATATTACTCGCCCTTCTTTAGTTCAAGATAGAATTATAGAAGATGAGTAATGGTGTCGGCATTAAGGGCTCCGGTATCCATGATCTAAGGTTCCGGGTTCAATTTCATTCAAATGCTTCCTTAAAGTAGCCATAGTTCGAATACTTATGACTTATGGAACCTATAGCCAAGCTTCGTACCTTAGGGAGTGCTGAAGAAAAGTTCCACAAATCGGAGGTGTGAAAGCGAAAACGGAGGGACGTTGATTCTTCCAGCAACCCAGAGCTCAGGAGGATCACACGTGCTCCATATGTCCTTAGAAGTTTAGCATCGGCCTTCGCTAGTAGCAGCGGCCGGTTTAAGCGACTTTGCTTTCCTCCTCCCAGGAGTTCTATTGATTGAGGAAGCTTGGGTTAAGTTAAACAGTGATGCTTTCAGGGTAGGGGGATCTCAGGAATCATGAGGAACCGAGTTGATTGTTGAAGGAGTATACCTATGGGTCTATATATATGCAAGAAAAGGAGTAAATCTTGGCAACATGTGACGGTCGTGTCGCCATGCGTGGTACTGCAAACATAAACACAGATTGTGCTCATATGCTCAAAAGTATACCGTAGAGTCGATAGCTAAAGCCGTATACCGCACTAAAGAGCCTCAAGAAACACACAGACCAAAGAGGATACAGTAGAGCTGGGGTTCCACTTTGTGAACTGAATAACTAGTGGAGCCGAGTGCCGCTAAGTTGAAATTTTCGTCTTCCAATCGTCATGATCTGACCGACTGCGCTAAATTCATCAAATATCCGGAATTTGTCGAAATGATATTCCCGTGGTAGATTCAGATATTGTGTGGCTTTGTGTCCTCACGCTAACTAGCTTCCCTATATGGTTTCCCAACCTTTCACCAAGCATACGATAGACTTTTCAAGAATAAAAATGTCAGCTTGACCTATACCTGAGAGATCTAGGTAGTTACAATCACGAATACTATTATTCAAGTCCTCCGGAAGTCTTCCCTATTGCTTTCTTCTGCGACAGGCCAAGTATCATGCCAAATTTAGGTTTTGTACCGTAAGCAGCAAAGACATGTATGACGTCGTAATAATTGATGAGCCTGCGGATGATCTTCCTCTAATTTTAGGGGATTCTTGCTCTCTTTTCGGTTGGGTCCTCCTGTTATACATATAACCTTTCCCGCAAATATTCACCTGATATTACTATCCTCCACCTTCTCCACATAGTCGCTATTTCAGTGACTGAGATAGATTCCAAGGGCTCCCCTCTCTCCACCAGAATTACCGAACTATGAGAGGAAGAAAACGAATTAGACCTTGGAGAGTCCATTCGGCATGCAAGGTGGAGATCGAGGGCGGGGACCGGTGGTGGAGGTATGAGCATATATGTCCGCGATTCACGAATCGAGAAGTAGAACATGCAGAACTAACTTCGGAATACTCCCGACTTCACATGTAGTAGTCTCAAAACAGCCAAACCAAATTAGGAAAGATGTTGGCACCACTCTCGCATCTGCATTCTCACTAGTGACTAGTGTCGATCTGCGGCGCATCCTAAAGAGAACATGGCACAAAGAATCCTACTACCCTAAACATCTCCATCCTCCACAGCAATGCATTCATCCTCCCACCCCTAACAGGTCACTACTCCACAGACTTGAAACCATATGTCCTAAACCACACCAAGCCCAACGACGCAATAGCCCCTAATGGCACCGAAATCTCTATGCTCATCCACCTCTGCTACCCAGCCCTAGCCCCAGGCCTCCAATCAAATACCTCGACCGCGGTCTAGCCACCTATTACGAATCCTACTACAACCCTGCTGGGGTGCTTTTATAACATCATAGCCCCTATTTTCACCTCCCGTCTTCGCTTTTTAGTCCCCCGTTCGCAGGCCCAAGCTCCCAAGTCTTGACGTCCCTCTTTCGTGAGTTGGGGATACACAGTCGTGACGATCGGTCATCCGTATGAACAACCATATCTCAAGTATCCGTAGAGAACGGGTATGTATGAACTACCGGTCGATTTTGACGGCGATCTCAATATCATTATTCGAGTGCAAGCCTATCGTCTCAGCGATACGTCGGTACTTCTCGAAGCCTTACCCAGAATCACCAGCACCTGGGACTTTCCGACCAATTTGGCGCATTTCATGTTGTTCGGCCGCAGTCCCCAACTCACCATTTCTTGCCGCTCTCAGCCCCGGCGGATCCATCTTCAGCCCAAGCTCAACCAATAAATCTCTCTCGCCTCCAACCTTCAACCTTAGCCTCCCACACTACTCGTTGCCACCGCTTTCTAGGCGAACGATTCAGATGACGTGTCTGTGGAGCCGTGCGATCGAAGTGGGACGAATTGTACGGATTTTCGGATCCGGTGTTTTGGTGGCAGTGGTGGGGATTAATATTACGTCGACGATGGATATGGGACCAGGGGAAGGAGAGGAGTTGGAGAAGGGTTTGTGATTAAGGCCAGGAGGATGGTGGGGATTACTAGGAAGTTTGTGGGGGGGTTTGTGGGATTGGTGGCTGGAAGGAATGGGCAGGAGGAGAGTGTTGAGCGGGAGTGAGGGGAATAGGGAGGAGCGGCCGGAAGTTGTGCGAGAGAATGATAGGGGCCGGGTCGTTTGATGGTAAGGTAAGATGAGAGGGGAGATAAGGAGAGTTGACGGAGATTGTGGTTCACGCTTGCAAGATGCATGGAGAGCATAGAAATCCATTTCATTCTTGAGCTCTGATAAAGGTATTCGGACTTGCTTGTAGGTATCTTAGCCACCCAGATGATATATGCTCATCACCCATCCCATCCCAATCCACCCAAACTTCAGCACGCAGCCAGCGCGAAATCGCCCTGTGGGTATCATCTCGCCCTCTATTTCTCATTATTCTTCTCATCCATACAAATACACATTGCCGCCATCAGCGCCATATCCACCCCTGGGGCCACCTGCAGTGCATACGTCTGCTGTCCAAACAATATATCCTTTCCACTCAAGAGTTTGCGATCGATACGGCCTACGACGATACCGCCTTGGGCTTCGTCGGTGATGTCGGCGGACGTGTCGAACCAATTGCCTTTCATTTGCAGTTCTTCTGCCTTCCCATTGGTGGAGGTGAAAGTTGCGACGGCTTTGCTGCCGAGGACTGTGCAAACCGATCATTAATTGCTGTCATTATACCTAAAGCTCTAGAATTCTAACACAACTAGAAAAGAGAGTAGACTTACTAGCAAACTTGCTCTTAACCTCCATAATCTTCCGATCGCTGGGATCCTTCACCGCGAACGTTGTGTGGATATGAAAATGCTCCTTCACGATATCGAACAAATGCTTACCCTGCATATCCCTCACTGTCTTCCGGCCGGATATCGACAAGATTTTGCCTTCGACTTGCAAGATGGGCGTCCCGTTCGCTAGCTTAATGCTGAAGCTGTCGCCCGTCAGCGACAGCACTTTCTCTTTCAAGATTAACGTTTCGGTTTGGCGTGCGATGAGCTCGGGGAATACGCCGATTGGTTGTGGGACGGGGGCGAGTTGGGCCATTTTGAGGGCGTGCGGATTCTGGGGATTGGATGGCTTTGGTAGGAGAAAGGTGTGGATGTTTGGAAGTGTGGTGGGTTGGCAGTGCAGTATAGCTTCGCTGTCGCAGGGCTTGATGGAGTCAATATAAGAAACTTGAGGAAGGTGCTGATCTCTCTGTTTGAGCTACGCAGAGGTGGTGGCTGAGTCCTGGAAGGTAGCTAATTGTCAGCCCCCACCACAGTTCCAATCTCCAAGTTCTAGTTAAGCTCCAAGCTCCACACCTGCTCCCGTGCATGACTGACCTGGTCCTCAATTTAACCCAATCATCCATGTACACACCTCACACCTTTTTCCTCAAACCGTCCCGATCCTGCGAATCGTGGCTTCACATTGGCTACGTTTAAAAATAAACGCTCAAGGCAAATCCTCAGTGCCGAGTGTCCACACTTCTTCGCGTGCAAGTCTGGCCAAACCTGCAGGTTAGCGCGATGCGTAATCGTGTGGCTTGTCCTTCCAAGGACCTCTTACCCCTCCAAGGCCTTGCTACTCCAGCTGCCTCAGAAGGCTTACGTTATTGGGGTTTGGTTTGCAGTGGATTTTAGTTAGGAAGGGGAGTTGGACATTGGCAGCGGAACGCTGAGATATTACAGAGATGTCGTGGCGGCGTGATGTGATATCTGGGGCTGGTCGAAATCTGCACTAAAGTTTTCTAAACAACGGCTAAATTTCCAGCGTTGGATTTTCGTAGAAAGCTGCCTCCGGCGAGAAGCGAGTATGTCTTCCACTTGGTATCCACTTCTCGCCTTCTTATCCTCTTAGAATACGCTCGAACGCTGGAGGGCTGTTGTTCAATTGGCACGCGAGCCTAGTTCCTCCACCGCCAAGACTCGCCGTCTCAAGCTGAGATCCACATCTTTGCTTCTTTCCAATTCCTCCTAGTTCCGGGTCATTATGGTGAAGGTTGGGCTGAAGGCAATCGTAGAGACGGCGTTGCGTTGCCGGTGTGCCATGTTTCGGTACCGCGCGAATCTCTTGGATTCGACTCAAATCTTTCCCATGTCATCCTATCCGTTGCTAGCTCCATAAAACCCGTGACGATGTTTATGTTCGTGAATAATATACCACGAGGGAAGCTGAGCATTGCATCTCTCATAACGAGAAGGCCAACTTGCTGCATTCGCTTGACCAATCCCTCCCCTGCGCATGAACCAAAAAGTCGTAAAGCAACATCCGTTTCACCGATCCCTCATCCTCACAACCGTTCTCTTCAAAACCCGCAACTCAGAACTTGCCGACTCCGAGGCCCTCTCTTGATCACTCGTCGCTTCTGCAGTCCCATTCCAGGGCGATAAGTACGGCAAGTCGCTTGCACTCCAATTATCCCCGTCCGTCCCAACCCCATTTCCACTCCTTCCCCTCCCACGAGAATTGCCCGAACCCCGACTCCGAAACCGTGACCGTGAGCTCGAGATGACTTCTCTCGTTGCCTCTCTTAAGCTGAATTGCGGTTGATCCAACGAGGTACCTTCGGCCGAAAAAAGAGTTTTAAAGGAGCCAAGACAAGCTACGAGAATAGCGATGTTTTGCTCAATGGAGCTCCACATGTAGAGCCAGGACGGGTCGGCGAGGTTATGACTGATAACAGCGAGACGGGTAATGGAGAAGGCGATCGTGATAAGAACGAGAGAGAAGATGCCGAAGAGGGCAAGGCGGCGTTTTAGTGGGATGCGGACGCGCCAAAGAATGCTGAAGGGGATTGTCATGACTAAGTCGTGTGAGTTTATGTACTGTATGACGAGCTGAGGCTGGGGTCAGTTATACATACCTAAACAGTCGGTGGTTACGTCCAGTGCCGTGGCAAGTCGTAACGCGAATAAGATCCGAGCTTTGCCGTCGGGGGAGAGACATTTTGCGAGAATGTCTTCGAAGGCGGATATCATGCACTGGTAGTCCATAGTGCCTAGGGTAACCAAGAAAGCCGCGCCAGTAAATGCAAATACTCCATACCAATACACAGTAAGTGTGGGGATATCCTTGCCCAGCTTCTTGAAGAATATCATGAAGGACATCTTGATGAAGTATAGAATGGCGTGAAAGAATGCAATGACGATTAGCTGACCGCTGAAATATTGCTTCGTCCGCGTTATTACATTGTCTGGAGGTGGCCAGATGTCCCCACTTCCAATGGCTTGAACTTCGTACATCTTGGGCGAGATGAAGTGCCAACATGTAGCACTGAGCAGTGATAAGCCCCAGGCAAATATCACAAGGTAGTCGTCCCCATGCAGTCGTTTAATGCTGCGTATCCGCGAAAAAATCCTTACTCCGAGGAACGAAAACGATACCGCAGTCACAGCCCATATTGTCGTCTAGGGACGCTCAGCATCAAGAAACAGTCCATAAAAGGGGTCAGTGGAAGGTACGTACCATAAACACAGTATGGCCGACTCTAGGCGGGTCTGTGTATGGCGGCGACTGCGTCTTGAAGAACTCGGACGTCGTCGTTGCCATATCGATTCGTACGGCATAAGTCGTCACCTAAGCGGCAGCGGCATGGCCAGTCCTGGCAGTGGCGTGTTTCAACCCCGTTGTTCCATATCGGTGCCACGACTGACGACAGATGACGGGTCGAAAATCAGGTGGTGCTATTTCACGTGGGGTCGCGGGGTGGGTGGCTTATATGTGATGAGGCGAGAGTCGTGGTTCGTTGTCGGAAGAGACGGTGAGGGAGGCCGAATATCGTATTGAGGTACATCAGGTAGTTCAAGCCTCCCGCCGCCATTCCCGCGAGAGTAGCATGCCTGAAACTGTGAACCGTTGACTGAGATTATCCATACGTGGATTCGTGATTTGATCTGCAAGAAGACAAATTGTGGGGAAAGATTCTGGTGCTCTCGAATTGCGAGGTCCGAGTGCCCCACCAATACTTGCTTTTGCGCGATTGTTGTAAGGGGACAGCAGACGAATCAAAGAGAGGGGCCGAACCGTACCAATCTATTTGACCGGCCTTCGAAGCATATCCGTACGACGGTGAGAGTTTGTCCGAGCCAATGGGGAATAGTCCCTGCAAGTTTTGGAAGATCCCTGCCCTCTTCACTCGGGTCCCTTCCGACGTCGATTCAACCGGTCGACAAGTGCGTGATGTTGTACCCAGGGCTTGGCGAAATGGCCTGAGATATCGCTCCTTACGGCCATAGCCATTTGTGAGTATTTGGAAGGGGAGTAATGGAAATAGATATCTCGGGACTGACACGCAGTAGAATAGAAAAATGTTGATTTTTGGGAACACTTAGATGTTTTTCACTACCATCTTTGAATGTCGACCAAAGAACGCAAATCATCCTACAGCCCCCCAAACTGTCGGTACCACTTTTGAAGACATAGCAAAGTATACAATTTATCGAAGACCCTCGGAATTCATCGTACAGGCATCTAGCCGTTTAATAAAACTTATTCTTCAGCGTCGTCTCAATGATAACATCCATCGACCTGACCGGGCCCGTAATCCCCAACGCCGGCGTACTATCATCCAGCTTCGGAAATTTCTGCTTTTCTGCCCCAACAACTGCCAGCTTAATATCGAAACGGTGAAACAGAATAGCGAGGAAGCTGAAAACCTCTTCTTTTGCTAAGACTCTGCCAGGACAATACGTTACGCCGCCACCGAAAGGCCGATAGGAAGAGTGTCTTGTAAGACTCTTCTTATTTTTAAAACGTGTCGCATCGAACTCTGCAACGTTATCACCCCAGACTTTCTCGTTCATGTGAAGTTGCCTAGCTGGTATCAAGGCGGAGTGCCCCGGCTGCAGGACTTTTCCTCCGAGGGTGATGGGACTGCGAACCACTCGGCTAACCATGGCTCCTCCGTTCAGACGGAGAGCTTCGGAAAAGATGGCGTCTAGATTGGGGGCATTGGTGCAGAGCCATTTTATGTCAAGTTTCCCATGAGGCCATGCGGCTTCGGTCTCTTCGTAGACTGTTCTGAACAGGTCTGGAGAGTGTAGAAGATGGGCAAGCACCCAGAAGGAAATATTGTACTCGTTAGAATTGGCACTAGGCTGAAGTCAGTCTGAGGGCTAAAAACCATTGGAGGTAATGCAAAACATACGCCCAGTAGATCATCAGAATGATAGATGCACGAGAATGCAGATCTACACCCATGATTTCTTGCCACTTGAGGATTGTGTCGATGGACCACGCTTGTTCCGTCCGTGCATGCGCTGGCAGATTGATGAAAGTCTTGAGGGTATCCATCAGCTGTCTTCGTGGCTCTGTGACAGGTGAACCGAATATCTCTGGATACCTGAAGAAAACCATCCATGCGTGATCATTAAAGTTCATCATATTTTCGACTACAGTGGGATTAATCCGATGCAGATGGCTTCCAAACATAGAACGGGTCGTCGCATCCACCATCGTGTGCCGACAGAGCATCGAAAGCGAAAGCAGCCTGCTCTTGCCTCGCACTCCTACTGTACAAAAGTCCAAATTCGACCATTCCAGAGTTGCGAAGAGAGCAGTAGCGAATGCATTGTACATGGCATCCATCTTCGGTCCCGGAAGTAGCTGTTCGCGGTATACTTCTTCGGTGAAGCGGTTCAACGAAAGGTGGTTCGGGTTCAGCGGATTTCCTGGCAAATAGCACCATTCTCCAGGCTGTGGAACATGCCATGCCAACCTCAGAGCTTCTCCTTCAAAGCCCCAATTGCAGAGTAGCTCATTGAGGTGACCGTCAAAGTGCAGCGCCTCGTTGTCTCGGAAAGCATTGCTAACATCTGATGGGTTGGTGATGATGTATAGTTTCTTCCTGAAAACCTGGATTGCAAACACTTCATGGGTACGGCCTGTATAGTTTCTTCTGTAGGGTTAGCTAAGGAAATCAAGAGATACGGATGGAATACCTACAGCCCTCGTTCGAGCAGCTTATCAGAGTTGCCAAAGAACGCGATTGTATGACCTGGCGATCCCTATTAAGACCACGTGGTTATTAGGAAACATCGTTCTTACCAAACACTGGGGTGGGCCAGATTGTTAGTCTTAGAAACGGCGTCGCGATTTTCGTACGGGGGACTTACCTGGGATCCAGTAAGGGAGTTCCTTTGGCTCATTTGGCCGTAGGACTGGTAGGACAGTGAACCTCCAAATCCTCCACAGCAGGAGCAATACGCAACCAACTGCCGGGGTAAGAAGGAACCTATTCCAGGTGTACAGTATGCACTTGACAAGGGAAGCCAGCTCTAGGAACATGTCGCCTTCTCGGAAAACGAAAAGCTCCAGGCGCCTGGATCAAGTGGGCAAATAAGATTTTCGTGATAGCATCTAGAAATTGAGTTGCGCAAAGATTGCACGAGGTACAAGGAAGTATATATCAATTTATTGACGGCTATGCCCTCCATGCCCACCAATAGTATATCAGTGTCGCTTTAATGTCTGCACTGGGTGTCGAGAACTAAAGTCTCGTCGCCTTTGAGAGTGCACCATGAATCAAGCAAGCCTTCATTCCTTGGGCACCTTCTTGTTCGTGTTAGTATCGATCGGTAATAAATGAAGTACCCGCAAGTTCCGAAGGCGGCGGCTAATTTCGCCCAAGGGTCGCGTTCCGATGCGACTTGGCCACTTTAATGTGGATGCAAGCATCCTTTCAGGCAAAATCCAAGGATGTTTCGACTAGGGTTCTCGCCGAAAGGCACAGCTTTTCAATGTGAGAAGAGGCTCCCAAACAATGGCGGGCCTGAGGATTCCTTCTCGATCTTGATTCCTTGTTGCGTGGCATGCTGTCGTAATCCCCGTTTTCTTGTGCAACCAGGATAGATTCCTGAGAGATCTATTCCGTTTTTAAATATTACCGGCTTATTTTCCAAAACCTGTGTCTTTCTTCGACCTTCATTGCCACCACCATGGAGCAGCATGAAGTCCGCAGCTCGTTAAGAGAAGAAGATGGCTCTGTTGAGGAAGGCACATCTTCTACAGGGAATGCGCCACTGGAGTCATGGAAGCTTGCTATGGTCATGGGGGCTTTGTCTCTCGCGATTTTCCTCTATGGCCTAGATATGAATGTCATCGGTGTCGCTATTCCTAAGATCACCACCGAGTTTAATTCGCTCGACGATGTGGCTTGGTATGGATCCGCATACTTGCTCACTATCACCGCCTTCCAGCCTCTTTTCGGTAACTTCTACAAATACTTCAATGCGAAGCTGGTGTACCTGATCTCAATTGCAATATTCGAAGGTTCGCAGCGTTATCGGCTTTATTTTCTACATCGAGCAGACAACTGACATCTGAGAGCAGTGGGGTCCGTCATTTGTGCTGCAGCGCCGACTTCCAGTGTTCTAATTTTTGGTCGGGCTTTCCTTGGCTTTGGAGCCGCAGGTCTCCTTCAGGGAGCACTTGCTATCATCGGATACTCAGTCAGGCTCGATAAGGTCCCACTGTATCAGGGTGTGGTTGTGAGCTCCCTGGGAATTAGTGTCTGCACTGGACCCCTAATTGGGGGTGCATTGACAGACCATGCAAGTTGGCGTAGGTAGCCCAGCCCATAACTCGAAATGTGACTAACATGATTCAGGATGGTGCTTTTGGATGTATGACACAAAGTAGATCTCTCAATCGCGTGGCTCACAAATCTGTAGTAACGTTCCAGTTGGAATTGCAGTGCTCTTCACAGTCCTCATCTTTGTCACCCTAAATGACGCCTCGAATCAGAAGAACCGAGACCTTCCTCTCCAGAAGAAGGTACAGCATATGGATCCTCTTGGCACGGTCATTTTCCTTAGTGCTGTTTGCTGTCTTCTAATCATCCTACAATTAGGTGGCCAGAAGATAGCTTGGGCAAGCGCAAGAGCAGTCATGTTATTCCTGGGGTTTGGGTTCTTGATTGCCGTTTTCTGCTTTCTTCAGTGGGAAAAGGGTGAGTACGCAACGATCCCACCAAGGATTCTGATGAAGAGAAGCATATACATGGGAGCACTGGTCCTGTTCTTCTTGGGAATGTCGAGTTTGACTGCAAGTAACCACCCTCTCTCTCGTATCTGGTGCAGTGTCTCTGACGAGAGTAGTACGCATATTTTCTGCCCATTTACTTCCAGTCTATTCAAGGCGTTTCGGCGACCGCCAGTGGTGTCCGGTTCATTGCCCTCGTCCTACCGCAAATCGTCGGTCTTGTCATCACCGGAGCTATTGTATCAACATGGGGTTATTACGTCCCGTACATAATCGCTGGAGTTGTCGTAACTAGTATTGGTGCTGGACTGCTGACCACTCTCGATGCGTACACTCCAACAGTCAAGTGGGCAGCTTACATGGTCATCAATGGCCTCGGAATTGGTATGGCGCAACAACTTCCTTATGCCGCTCTTCAAGCCGTCCTAGAACCGAGCGACGTGCCAACAGGAAATGCGATCGCAGTGTTTTCGTACCAACTTGGAGGTGGCCTTTCTGTTGCCATCGCACAGAATCTCTTCCTAAACAAGCTCATAAAAACCATTCCAAGGCACACCACTGCCGTTTCGCCGTTGGAGGTGATTGCGGTGGGAGCAACAGGGCTGGCAAAATTAGCGAAAGCAGACGATGTTCTCAGAGCTTTGCGTGAGGCATACGCAGAAGCGCTTCACGATGCCTTCATCTTTGCGGTAGTCGCCGCATGTGGAGCATTTCCATTCGGGTGGTGTATGCAGTGGCTGAACATTAAGAAGGTGGCAGAAGAGCGAGCAAAGAGAATCGAGGTTACCGAGAGAGAAGAAAGAGAGCATATTGAGAACGAAAAGAGTGGCGAGCGGCGAGTGGAACTGACAGAATGAGGGCGGGATAATCCGGACTCCCCTGGAGGAACACAAGCCAAAGGCCGAGCTCTCTGACACATTCTTAGGTCTCCACAAAACTCCGCGGTGAAAATGCTTCCAACAGGGTCCCTGAGCTGCCAGATGGATTTGATCTGAGCTATGCTGAAGGATCTTTGGCAAGAAATGTTGCTGAGGCAATCCACAGGGGTTTGCCTTTGGGAGAGATTAACTTAGATCGTCGGGTTTAACGCTAAGTTGGAAGGTTTGTGACCAAAGAAAGGAAAGGTTCATGGAAGACCCTGCTTCTAATTCCTGTAGCCGTTTTGCACCCTATTCGTCCAAAGATTATGTGGGACAATTTGGCGGAGTTGTATGCGTAAAGGCGGTGCGAAATGAGACAAGAATACGATCTTGATTGTTGAGTGAGGGTATCAGCTTCGGTCTTATCATCCAGCAACGAAGATACTGTATCAGTCCCGCGCTCTCCTGCTCCCTTGATTAGACTCTTGGTCATGACCACTTGAACGGAGTCTCTTTAACAGGCCGAGGATTATCTATGCGATGGCAAACCCGATGGTAGCAAGGGAGAGAGGGGCAAGGCTAGGGAGGCCGGGAGGTCAGCTTTTGTTTACAGCTCAATCGAACCTACTAGACGATAAAGAATGGAATCGCCAAAACTACGCCATTAGCTAGGGGTGAGTAAAGTGGAAGGGGGCTCTTAATTCACTCAAGCAATCAGTGAAGATGTCTGGTGCGCACACCATAGGAAGGTTGCCCAGTTCTCGCTCCGTTTAATGGCAGCAACCCTCACTGGCTCCCTTTTCGAGAGATCCTGTCATACAAGAGAAGGGAAACATCGCAAAGCAAACGACGAAGAAAAGCACCGTTTAACCAAGCCTGATCCACCACTAGATTGATTGCAGAGTTCCAGAGTTTTTTTAGGCCTAAGTGTCAGGAGAAGAGTAGAAACGAGAATTTGGACACAATACTGGAGTAGAACAGCACGATTTCAGCGATAATTACCCCATAATATTGTTCGAAGTGTAGAGAACAGCCTATAGGAGGAAGGCGCTCCTTCCCACTCACCACTAAGAGATATGTGCCAATGTCGCAACGGTATTTAGTACCGACCATCGCAAGGAGTCGAGACAACAACCAAGGAATCATGACACCAAATCATCCCAGAAATAGCGTTTGGGGGGGTTACCTACTCACTAGAGCACAATTGCTATCGAGTCTTCGAGGGCTCAAGGTTGGAAACTGAGACGATGTAATTCGTGGTAGATGTAGCTAATCTCCGAGTGAGCCCTTACACTCTCAGGTGAGCGCCAAATACTTGCACGATATCTGTCAGACATTCCGTTCAGAACTTCGCTAGAAAGACTGCTATCCAAAGTCACGAGCGTATAGGGCGAATACGGCAGTCCTCCGAACCCCTCACCATCGCACTTGTTTAATGCGTTTAGTGCCTTCCCAGAGCGAAAGTAGCCGGTGTTCAGTCCCGGTGGAGCCCAGAAATTGTACACCCCAAATATCCATATCAACGAGTGGTAGTCTAGATTGATGAAAGCATTTAGAAGTCCTCTAGAGCAGGGACGCCCACCAAGAGAAATCAGATTACTGGCATTGTCGAATCCGCAGAGTTGGAGAGGGACCTTCCCGGTCAGGGCTTATCATGAGCGGCAACAAATCCATTTTGAGTACTGATATAGAAGATGTTCACAGGGAATTGTCGCGTGCCAAGCCGATTTTATGGGTAAGGTGGTGTCCAAGAAGGGCGACTTTGGCTGAAAAGGGATTGGATGTTCACGTGCCTGACGTGCCGGTCGAACGCCGCCATTATCGGAGTTGAGCACCACAATCCCGATGACTGTGCGCAATTCTTCACTGTAAATGATACTTTCGTTAGGAGTTGGGAAGACCGCCATCGGAATCACCACCGCTTACTCAGCCTCCACGAGTGAGCTCCTGTCCAAGTTCTGTGACGGAACTGGACAGCTTCACCTGATACCAATCCTCCGCTCAGGATCCTGAACTCTCCCCTCCGTACCGTAATAGTACATTTCGTATCCAGGACCTGACTCCACGGCGACCCGCCTCGTGCTGTCTCCCAATCTTCTTGATCCACCACCGCACTCTGTACATAATTCGACGCCGAACTGGAAACGGATATCCGCGCAGGCCTCGCACTTTCTACAGCCGCGACACGCACGATGCTGAAGACGAAGCTTGTAACAAATGGTACATCGAGCCTTTCCAGCATCGCATTCGATGCATTCAACTCCGGCAGGTTGAAAGCTTCCCCGCCCCAGGAAACGAACGCCTGCGCAGCTCTCGCACTTCTGGCAGGTCTTGCATTTGCGATTTAGCCGCGCTACGAGACAAAACCGACACACGAAATAGTTTGCCTGGACAAGATCAAGGTATGCCCGGGAGAATTCACCTTTTCGATCGAGATTTCGTAGACATCGCGGCTCTGAGCCCCAGAGATAGTAGTCATCACGTGTCCAAGGATGATATCGTAGACACTCGTAGCAGTAGTATAAGTTCCGGGGGACAAGATCTCGGATAAGGTGAAAGAAGTCGTGGATTTCGGAACCTACTCTTACATCCGCGGGAGCGCAGATTGTGTTGAACATAGCTTTGCAGGTTAGACGGAGTAGCCAGGTGCTGTTTGTGCAAAGGTAGGAGGACATGTGTTGGAGGACCTCAACTGGAAGTGAGAGGAATGGTGCCTTGGATTTGCAAAATCGACATCGCGTATCAGGACGGGCAAAATCGTCGGAAGCGCATATTGGGCACCGGCCGCAGTTGATACAAGAGAACCCTTGGTCTGCAGACCCAGGATACTGCGGGGACTCAACATAGGGTCCTGTGGAGCCATGCCGACAAGTACATCGAGGAATATTTTCTTTCAGGCTAGGAGGAGCCTGAGAACTCGTTGATAGGGATTTTTGTCGACGTAGAGGTAGTTTTAACAACTTAGATCCCGCCTTCCCCTCTCGCTCGACCTCGGATTTCCTCTGCTCCTCTAATCTGTTATCAATTGATTCTACGAGCTCTCGTCTGGGTTCCACAGTAGCTCCAGAATGCGTGGTGAAGATAAGTTTGGGAGCAGGCTGATCACTCTTCTCGCGCTTATGCTTTCGCCTGAGTTTCTGGAAGAACGAGCGTTTAGGCTTCTTCGTGGAATGCTGTTCGGTTTCATTCGGAGCCATTGTCGATTCTCTTCGAGTGGCACGATTCCTGTTGTTGAGTTGTCCTTCGTATGAATCCCAGACCGTGGTTTTGGAGTTCCATACCCTCCCCCCCACTGCATGGGTGCCACCGAATGCAAATGAGGGGCTATTTTCGGCTCGGACACGGGGTGGCAATTTCGACCTATCAGCCTCCGAATTCCCCATTCCAACTCGTATTTGAGTCTATATTTAGAACACACTCGTATTAAATGCGAGGAATATGGACGTCTCGAAGAATGCATAAGTGTTTCCTCGAACAACCACACCGTGCTCTTAAGCATGTTGCCCGCAACATATGAAAGCCACCTAGAGGTTGCATCAACTTGATATATCTCAACAACCTTCAATATTCCAGCCTTAGATCTCGCGCCATAGCATTTAACCGTCCAAAACGGGAGCATGTCCGCCTCTCTGCAGGGATGCATAACTAGACCAAACTTCGTTCCAAGGCATGGCATCTCTATATCTACCTTATACTCCCACGAGAGGGACCAATTAGAAGAGCCCGATGTTAATCTATATAAAATGCTTTATTGTAGCCATGACAGTTAGTCCTGAGGCCACTTGTAACCACTCGACACGTGACCCAGTACCAACTGTCCGAAATAGAGACGGTAACTCGACTCTACGACGGATCTTAAACGGCCCCCAAGCTCCCCTTACTCTCATATTCTCCATCGTCGTAGCCTTCGTTGCAGGAGCGGTGATGCTTACGAGCATATCGATCCTACAGCAGCCCCAAAAAAGATGACTCTAATATGAATATATTTGCTCTAGCACCAACCACCATGCTACATGCTGACCCCCGGACTACTACCAAAACTCCCTTAGTCTTTCTATTAGGACACAATTACTCTCGGGCTCCAAAATCAGCATTTGAATGTTAGAAGCCATAGTAGAGTCCTTAGCATGTCTACTTCTATTGATCTTGCCGAGCAACAAGACGTCACTTCCTTTTCTCGAACTTCGAAAAGCTCAAAACTCCATATCATTCGCTGGTACGAACTAACATACACCACGGTCTGCAATGAGACTTAGCGCTGAGTGGTCGAACACGATAGCAGTAGGTACTGGAGCTTCACGACACAACCACGAAGTGTATATAACGGGGTGGTGTCCAGCACAGCCCAGCTTCATGGTCCCTCCCTACGGGTAGCTTTGCATTAAATGTACAGTGCAAGTATATCTATCATTGGCCGCATCAATTCCGCAAGTTTTACGACAGATTTACCTGGCGATGGTCTAGAAAGGATCACTTAGGCACTAGAATCCCTATGCAAGACAGTGCACGAGCTTCCCCCTTCCATCGTGATTGACCCAAATCGCAGCCAGCTAAATTGGTGTCAAGGTCCTTTATTGGCCCGCTACTACGCTTGCTCTGCGGCGCTGGACAGCCTCCTTCCTGCCTTTTGCCCACATCCTCCACCAAGATGAGCCCATCTCCTTCGCACCCAGTCACAGAACGTTATCGCGATATCGTGACAGCTTCTCCACTGATATTCTTTTGTGTCTGTAGAGTACAAGTGCAGACGTTTGTTGGGATGTCTGTGTCCTGGACGTCCGCTATTCACGACATCAGCAGCCTTCTCACGGATATTACCGTAGAAGAGGGCCTTTGCGAAACTCCCTTCGTCTCTACTACTCCCCAGTGTCCTGACTCTGGCCCATGCCCAACGCATATTGACCACAACGACATGAATACAGCTCTAGCGGCGATATTCTTCTCCTGGGAGATTTTACACTAGCATAGCTGAGAGTATATTCCAGGGGGATTACGCATCGCGAATGGACTCTGTTTTTGATGTGTGAGATATGTTGGTGCCGGCGACTGTACAGATGATTGTGGAGCTTCCAACGGAGCGGTATTCGGATTTGAACAGCAAGTGGACGTTTACGCCTCCGAGTGAGGAACTAGTAGCGAAAACTTTGACAGAGGCATTGCTGACAATAGGGGCGTTTCAGAGGTCGACTGGTGTCAGTAGTAGGCAGGGTGTAATGTAATATCAACTAGAAGTTGACACAAGTTAGCACTGCGTTTTGATTCCAACTAATTCTGGCAAGGGAATTTACATATTGAGTGGAGTCTATTCATGAATCGTGGTAAATATGGATATCCTAATGTTCTGGAATGTAGAATACCATTCTCCTGGCAGAGTTGTGGTGTATGAAAAGGCAGTAGTCAGATGGTAGTATAAATCCCATGGCTCCGCGCCTCGCTCTATTTGAGCGGCGGGTCACAAACGCCTTTTCTTCTTCTTCTATTCTCGCCACCAAGCCTCTAATGATTCTAGAATTTCTCGCTAAAATCCTACAATATATCATTGTTGGTTTCTTCGCGCTCTTGAGCTTCATTCCATGCCGCTTAATCGTGCCGAGAAGAAGTATTGACCTGGCCTCTTAAATATGAAGCTTCGGCCTGCCCGTATCGGCTTCCTCCCGCGCGGAAGATATGTCGCGGAAGATGCCTGCCTTGAGGCCTGTATTTCTAGTTCTTTCCCCCTTCCATGTCCCTTAGGTAAATCTCTACTAACAACAAGCATACCTACTTGAATATACACAGGCATGGTGATCTTCCCCTTCAGTTCATTTCCGAACTGCGAATGCTTCCGGCTTCAAAGCTCTGTGCAGATCCCGTGCATAGACCAGTGAAACGGCGTCAATATAATATGGGAAGATCGGCTGAGAGATCCCTAGGACACAGCCTACCCAAAGTATTCCACAGAACCTTTGCCACCGTGATACAGAAGTGATTTTCTTCCTGACCTGTTTTCTCAAGGACCGCATGATGCGCGATTGACAAATTCAGTTGGTTTATATGAGCGAGAGTACCCTTTAAGCCGGAACTTATTGCCTTGAACACGAAGATCTGGAATCTGAACATACCGCGTTCAACACCTTTCTCAAAATCTCGACAGAAATTGGCAAGGACAAGACTGTGCTCCAGTTACTGATATCGTCTGCTGCGACGGCAGGCATAGGAAGACTTTCGTGATACACGAAGGACTGGCCAAATCAACTAGCTTCACATTAAGACAGACTCGGCGCTCCACATTCTCTACTACTACTACTATGAAAGGCCACACTACGTCGATATCCCTCAAGATGTAGTGCAAGACCCACTCCCACAAACCAATGGATACTAGAACGTTGGCACAACCTTGCTGCTGGAACACATGGACAGCTTCTTCAAAGAATCCTAGCCTCTTAGCCCTGCCAAACTTTCGTATATCTCCTGTCTCATCTGATTTCTCACCTTCTAATTGAATTGATCCACAGTGGTATCCCATCGCGCAGTCATGTCTTTGACCACTCTCTCAGAAGGTATGGTCCTCTCAGCTGGTCAATTCATAAACATGCCCGCAGCCGTAATTGCAAAAGATCCCGAGTACTTTGAGAACCCAGACTAATTCGACGGCTTCTGATTCTAAAATGTGTACAACACCGGTCTCGAACTACCTGTGAACTTTGTTCGCAGGCGCTAGCCCTTTACAAAAATACACTGGGCAGTGGTCGGTTCATGTGCTCAGTCAGATGGTACGCAAGCGTAGCTTTGAAAGTCTTCATAGGTCCCATTCTCTTGAATACGAGATCAGGTTCCTAGGTGGCTAGAAGGAGAGGCTGACATATTCTTGTTTGGATGACCATATCGTGTCAGACTGAAAGAAGTAACCATGGTTAGACAGAGGAATTAAGTTGGTCTGGGGGAACCGGGCAAAGATATGCTGGTTGTTTGAGGTGGCTAATATCTCGGGAGGGTCATGCAACAAATCTGTAACATTATACAGGGCATCTGTGGAGCAAGCCATGTATCTAGCAATGGTCATTTATGACATTGGCTTAAGGAAAATATCGCTAGAATTCCCTTGAATGGATGAAGGTATTTAGGGGAGAATCTCTCTAGAAGCTAACTGTAAGCCCAAGTTACACCTACGCTTCCCAGGTCATGATCTTCGTATCAACAAAATGCATAGTAGGAGGAAAGAAGCAGAATCTGTCCTGCTTACATTGACTCTTGAGACAACGATGTCCTAAGATACACTCCGTATCCTTGCAAACAACCCCATTGGGACAAGCGGAGAGTCTTGCTGCTGCCCGCAAGGCCTCCAGCTCCTTCCCCTTAACCCTTATACCGTGCCCGAACAAACAACCTTTGCGGAGATTATTATACTTGCACCGGCCAAGAATGTGGTACTCGTTGCAATACTTCTTAGCTTTCATAGCCTTCATGTCGGCACTCGAGCAATTGAGATCCACGTCGATCCTCTGCCCGGCGGCGTTACGGGCAATTTTCCCAGTAATTGACGCAACCCCCTTTCCTACTGTGAGAGGCTGCTCTGGGACCATGGTCTGACCTTTTCTTGAAGCTACTGTGGCGTAGTTCGTAATGTCTGACTTCTCTGATGCTGGAGTCCTTGGAGGAGTAAGATCAAACGAAGGCTTCAGAGTATCAAGTTTCGTTGTTCGGAACACTTTCGGGCAATAAATTGTCGGGAGGTGGATCGCTAGTTCTCTGAGTTCGTTTGCGAAAGGCGGGCCTTCCAGAAGCGTGACGTTTGTCGAGTCACTGTATGGACCAAGGAGACGCGCGTACCCGTTGTCAGCAGATCCACCAAAGACTACGTGACAACACTGAATGTTTTCAATGCTCATTTTAAAGGTAACTAGGATTTAATGTTAATATATGGGGTCATCCAACAGAGATGTGGCACATACCTTTGATTTTCTCATCGGCGCATTCCTTTCCATCGCCAGCGTTCACAAAATCACAGAGCGCGTCTTCTTTATTGAAACCGTTCACGAACGAGTCGAACTCGGCGGGATTGGATATAACCTTGGCCTCGGAATAACTCTTGGCAAGACCTTTCACGTTCGCGTAGACCCTGATTAGGATCTTCACACTAGCTGGCACCTTGGGAAACTTCTCACGAAGGTGCTCAATTATGCTGGCCTTGAGCAAGCGAGCAGCCTGGCGACCACCAGTCTCACCTGCTCTAAGGAGCTCGTCGATGAACTAGACTTCATCAGCATGTTCTGTTGTCCTAGGATAGATCACTGACAGTCATGCAATCACCGTCGATCAACACGGATACGTAATTCATTTGCGACTAGTACGTCCTAGTTAGCTTTGCGGGAACTATCTCTAATACCTCTCATAGTGCCTACTAGCCGTTGGTGGATCCGGCGAAGTTCAGCTTCTTTTTCCTTATCGGATCGCTGGAACATATCCGATACGCGGCGCTCACGATCTAGCTGCTGCTGGGCATCAGATAATCCATCCTCCAGCGACTGTACCTGGTTGATGAGATCCTGCACAAGTCAGTAGAACCTTCGAGAATCCAGCCGGTCAAAGGGTTGTTTAACTTACCTGGATTAGGGCGGTCTTGTTGTCCTCAATGGCCGTTAATTTAGCTAAACGGGCGCGGAAACCCCTAAGACGAGACATAGCTGTCAAGGGACATAACATGCACTTGCTGGGGTTGTGGAAATAGTTTGCAAAAAGAGCGAGGAAACACGTTCTTCAGCTGAGTCTTTATGCATTCGCAGCGACAGCAGTGCCGCTTCAGAGAGGCCGGATTTGGACAGGTCGCTTGCGGATCCACTCATTCAGTTTGATTTGATCAATCGATTGGAAGAGGACTGGCGGATAAAATGAGCCTTCGGACTGTGCCGCATGCTCAGCAGTTCTCCTGGTTTCGCAGCTTTGCACGTGACAGTTACTCAGGATCGTCAGATTATTCAAATAACTTGTGAATTTCGATATAGTTTAGATCTTCGCTAGCTCCTTGACCGTTGTTCTTTGAAGTGCGCGGTCTTCTCTAACGGCTTTCAACCATTCATCGGACAAGGCCTTCCTTTCGTCTTTGCTCTGTACTCTTTTTCGTGTCAACCTTTGCCATGAGCTCCTCTGTTCTCCATGTTTCCATTTCCTTACGTAGCCACTGTGCCGCTCCCGCCGCAGCAATTTCTGGCTTGCGAAACATGCTAAATGGCCCCCATTCTCAATAATCATGTCTTCAATGCACCCGTCCGCTGCAACACCACTCCCACCCCTTCTAGTACCAGTTATGCTCAAGCGTTGCTGGCGTAGTTTGTAAAATTGATATGGGAGTATTCCCCATACATCTGAAGAGTGCGTGGGCGAAGACGAGGAAGCCATTTCTAGACAATCATAGCTTCTGGCCGTACAAACACCGTCGGAAGTCCTAGAAAATGGTACCAAATTGGGGCACAGTAGGCGCTCTCGATTCCTCGCGTGTGCCGTTATCTTGCCTTCGAGGAGAGAATAAAAATTTGGCTCCGAATATGGCCATGCCCATTGAGCTTTCGGAGTTACTAATGCGTCGCCGCCGTCATGGGTATCTCGTAATGCGCTGCTGAGGAGGGATTGCAATACTCGAGTATCAGCCGAAAAACTCGTCTTTCTGTTCGGAGCTTAGCGATGCCTTTGAAATCCATTAGAATCCGATGCAATGAAAGTCACGGAGCCTCTTTCAGGCTCTAGATTATTCCACGGAAGATACTCCTTCACAGCGAGCTGCAGCACAGCGTTCACGCCGTGTAGGAACTCCCGGATGTGTTAGCAGGGCGAGGTGTATTCTGTGAAGACGAAATTTGCGGAAGACATGATGGTGAGTATCCATGCTTTGCAGGAGCCGGAGGTGGTGTTAGTGAGAATTGAACGATGTTCAGATGATGGTGCGAAGTGTTGGCGCCGAGGGACATAGCATGCCAAGACTCGGATTTTAGGGATTTGTGGCATTTATGACTGACGTTCTTCAAGCACGACACTTGCGACCTTGCAGCCCTAACTTCCATCGGTTTCCACCATGTCAACACCACTTACTGCAAACCCACTCTAGGGTAGGCATACGACAACTCCCTACACTCACTCCACATTCCTACCCTACAACCCTAGGCGACAAACTATCCTCACCATGACTCCTAGGACCTTATGCCTTACTGCCGGCTACATATTAACGAATTTTCAAAGGTCGGCCCCCAAGAGATATGCTTTTACATCCCCAAGGATCGGAGCAGTATATGCCAAGGGTTTTTCAGCAGTCACATGGCTTGAATACAGTAGTGATGCCGCGCTACGAATGTCCCTGTAACGTACAGAGCCTGAAGTCATTTAAAACTAAGGATTGAAGGTCTCAGATATATAGTATTAGTTGTTGCCGTAACAACAAATAAACAAAATGTTGACCTCCTATCAGCCGCACTTCCTTCTAATCTTTCGGAGTGTCGTAAAAATTAAATGATGGTTGACAGGAATTGAAAATATCTTCTGCATACAGCGGAATCCAAAGGCTAGGTGAATGACTGCTTTTACAGACCTCACACACTAGGGCACCTCAGTATTCTGTCGCACGTGACATTCGTTCACGTGATACTGCGTTAGGGTGAATGTGGGTCCTTCACCTCTCACCCTTTTCCTGTTTAGGACTAGCGCTCTTTTATCTACTATATATTTACATCTGAGCTCTCTCGAGCTCCAGAGACTTTACACCTCGCCTCTCTATATATCCCCTCCATCTAGGCTCCCTGCGATATATGCCTCCCTTAGCGTCCTTGGTGTCTTTTATCGATGTATCATATTTCCATACGAAGACATCGAGACGAACCTAAGATGAAAATTAGCCAATATTTCATTCATATTACATGCTGATTTCATAGGTTGCCCTGATTCCATCGTTTATATCCACCGCATGATGTTATCGCTCTGTACCGCCAGCAACGCGTAAAATTATTCTAGAACTCATATAGCTCCGTGGTAATCAGTAGATCTATACTATAGTCCCTCTGAGTCACTAGTATTCTATGACGGCTATTCTGCAGGAGCCTGTTTTAACGCCTCAAGAGATTGTTCTCGCTCCATCGGCGTATGTCTTTCACCATCTTCTGAGGCACATATTCTGCGCCATAGTCATACCATATTATTACGGCCAACTGCGCTCATCCCATCACACTTTTGTCGAACTGTCGCGTTCCTGGTACAGAAACCTTCCTTCCCTGTGCCTCAACAGCCCCTACTGCTATTACTATAGCTCCTTAGCCATTGCCATGGCCCTTACTGCCCCTGCCATCATAGATGTAAATAAATACTCTGCAACAGAACACTTAGACTTAACACAATACACTTCACTTCATCAGCTTCTTACATAGCTGCGTGCTTACACCGCCTCTCCGTTCGCGACACGAACCCCAAGAGGGTTTCGTACTCCGAAGGTGTTACAGCGTATCTAATAGATTAAGGGCGTCTAGATTTCAAAACAGATTCAAACTATCCACTCAATACCAGATATGCCCAGCATAAGCAGTATGGAATGCGGTGCATAATAATGGCCACAGAAAACACCCGGAGAACTATGACTACTAAATATTCCACCCAGAGCAAGGATCACATTTGGAAGACGGGTGAAGTGGCTACTATGAGCTTCCTTTCCGCAATATCCCGATGTGGTGTGGTGGCAACAGGCCTTTCTAGTCTACCTTGAGTGGACCACCGACGGAACCTGGAACCTATTCTACCTGCACTCTGCAAAACAATACCATTACCCAGATGCGTGTTTCCTCAGTTCGATGATCGTAATCTCTACAGGTACAATGATTTCAGTCCAATCCCTGGAAGCTATCATTAAACAACGTCCGGAAATGAATGGCGTGCTTGTTGAAAGCCTTAGGGGGTGTCAACGTTTGATCTCATTAAATTACGGAAGCTGCAGTAAGAGAGACAAAGTAAGGCCTCATTACAGTGGGCTGCATACCACTTTGACCCTTCATCATAAGATAACTATAACTCTACCTGTGCATATGGCCATACCTTGTCAGATAGCCAGCGCTTGGTCTTACCTCTCAAGTGATACAGCTAGGGAGATAGCAAGGTGACAGAGTTTGATCGGTTTGTTGAAGAGATCAATGGCCTGTATGAACCTAAACCGCCTACCGTTGGCGAAGTGATGGAGTGGAAGTACGTACTAGGGTTCGACATCTAGGATAGTGTTAAGGCGGGATAGGTTGATTCTCATCCTACGAGGATTTCTAAAGTTGTTTCCATCGCTTGCTTTGGGGATTGAGATCTGGTCTACAACCTCACGAGAGATATACATCTAATGCTGACTCAATGTAGTCATTAAGCTGCTACATGGATACTCTACACCGCTGCGCATATGTCCAATTAAACTTTATGAGTCCAAACAAAATTCATAAGGCGAGGGTCGTAAAAGAAATACACCGATACTACACCGCCAACAGCCCTTCAAAACTACAAGGCTCAACTTTCACACTACCATGATAGCTATCGCCTCCCCTCTACTTTCTCACTCGACTTCCTTCCCATCTCTTCATCCACCACCGAACTACACGTGAAATCCTTAACTGACTCCGTTTCCAAATCACCAATCGTTATTGTTTGATCTAAGGGATGCTTCGGTTTCTTCCGGGTAGAGACGCCCGAAGCTTCTTTTACATAGTTGTAGGATTTTCGTTTCTGAGGTTGTTCTTGGGTGAAAAGAGTGCGGAATGAACCAAGGCATACGATAATGATGGCTGTGAAAAGTCAATGGCGATCATTGTGAAGGAATGGAGAGATAGAAACTTACCAATGCTCTGCTCGACGAAAGACCAGAGTGTCGTTCGCGAGTTGTCTGGCTGCCCTCTGTACGCAGTGATGAAGGATGCCCTTAAGAGTGCGACAGCCATGGTGACGACCACTAGGGAGAAAATACCTCCGAGCGCGAGTCGTTTGCGTGCTGGGAGACTGACTTGCCAGAGCAGGACGAAGGGAATTGTCAAGACTAGGGATTTATCAGTAAGCAAAGACCTCCTCGAGAATGTGGGATAAACTTACTTGAAACATCGCTAGCAACATCTACCGCCGCAGTAAACCACATCTGAAATTTCATCCTCCTCCCCGCACTCGATGTCCCGCACCTCTCGAAGATTACGTGTACTGGGCTAGCGATACATCTCCAATCTGTCGCCGCAAAAACTGCAGCATAACTCAATACGGTGAAAGCAAGCACGGCATACCAGTACACCCTCAGACTCTGGACTTTATTTACGAGCCTCCAGAAGAAGATGAGAAACGCGAACTTCACCGCCCAAAGCCCCGTGTAAAACAGCACACCTTGGGCAATAGTGCCCTTGAAGTATTTCTCGGTATCGCTCATGAACGATGTTGGTGGCGGCCAGAGAATCCCGACTCGCACGTATTCTAGTTGATACATGAACTTCGACGTCAATTTCATGGTGATGGCAGTGCCGAGGGACATGAACCACGCGAAAACGACTAATGCATCATCCCAGGAGAGTTTGGAGAATGTTTTCGACCGGATGATCAGGCGAGCGATAAGGCAGACGAAAGAGATGGCGAGCAGCATCCACGTTATGCCCTGACACCTCGTCAGTCGAGCCCCAGTGCTCCCACCACCACCCGCAACAACACGACCCAACCCGATCTAACCACACCACACAGAAGATTATCTAGGAGGTAAAGGAAGTGGAAACCCACGAGAAACATTCTCTCCGGTAGACTATGACTCTCGGGCATCTGCCCAGGCGTCACTCCATTCGCACCATTATCGGCCATCGTGACTCTTGGGTGGGTCTTCAAGCAAAATATCTCTCTTCCAAGTTATCTGCACGGTCTGTCTGTCTTCAGACAACTTGGGGTCCCTGCGAAGCTTTTGTGCAAGATGAGCGTGGCGCTAAGGGCGTGGACGTCTTGAAGTCTGTTTATGTACATCCATTACCATCCATAGCTTCGGGGATCAAAATTTTGGTGTGGTTCGTATGCCGGGACGAGCTTTAGACTAGGAATCCAATAGATTAGATGCATACTGGAGCATGCTGGGGGGGAGACACGTGGTGGAACTGGGATCTTCAGCTTTGTCACGAGATGCAATGGTACATATATAATTTCTAGCACATGGCGACGTGGTTGGGAAACTGGGGATTTGGCTGTGCGACTTCCAAGCAGCTTCGCACTCATTTTTGCTTTTGTGGGGTAGTGGTGTGGGGGTGCCAAAATGTCTTTGGGAGTAGAAAAGTTGACAGTCATCAAGATGAAGTATTGAGCTGCCTATTCTTCGTCAGAATAATGGCACTATTTCAAGTTGAAATCAAATCTTCTGAAGCCTCGGAATCCCTATATCTTTCAAGTGTATTCTGCACCTCGATTTCCTGCCTAATAGGCCAGAGCTTGGTCTTTATCCAGGGCCCATTTATCAATAGTTCTTCAATATCTAACCCCTGCACTAGATTCTAGTAGCAAAATCATGTCCAAGTTCAAAGTTAGAGCTGTCAAGCGCAATATCACGTGACCTGCGGCTCTTGGGGGCCCTCCAACACTCGAATAAAATCTTAAATATAACCGCAACCACAACCGAGACAACAATGATGGAATGCCCCTCCGTTGGCGTACGTATACACTACAATGGGATTCTTCATTTAATCTACTTTCAGCTTTCTACGATACGACTATACGAGACCAAAGTCCCCGAGTAGCCTATCGCGACCATTCGGCTCTCATTTCACGAATACGAGAGATTTTGATCCGCGATGGTGGGACTTTTTTCGCAGTGGATGGATCACAAGATACTGCATATCTAGCTTGTAGCGATGTTCGGCGCTGGATTACGGAGAAATGCTCCTGAGTACTCGCTTGAGAGGCCGCCTGAACGATCTTCTGAGAAACTGGGCAGACTCTTGGCCAGGGGCGATGAAGACGTATATACCGGAAAAAGGTGAGCCCATCGCTCAACGACTCGTAGGACGACTTGCGTTATCAAGAGTCAAGAGCTCACTCCAGCATCCGCACCACCACGTGCCCCTACAAAGACGCGAAATGCAGTGCCGACTGTACACTGTAGTCCTTCGCCCCAACATCCGTACCACAGCTTTGTGCCTCCGCAAAACTGCCAAATGCAGCGCTATCAGCGCCGTATTATCCTTTGCCTCGAGGTCTACTCCATTGCCAACTAGCACCTGGACCACCACCACGTGCCCATATGACGCTACCATCGGGCAATTATTTTCCTTCGCCTTAACGCCGGCGCTGCCATCGACCAACTCCGGCACTACTACCTGGTGGCCTCTCCAAACTGTCAACTAACATCCGCACTGGCCTAGCACCCTTCTGAAGCCACTAGGTACATCCCTGTGCACCCAATATTGTCTTCGACTTAGCGCCCGTTTTGCCGCCAAGTAGCATCTGTACTAATGCTTCATTCCCTCCGAAACATGTACCATACAGGGCCGTTAGCCCATTAATATTCTTCCACTTGGAGACCGCTCCGTGGTCAACTAGCACTTGCACTACCGCCTCTCGTGCTTTTCCAAGGCTGGTACAGGCAGCGCTGTCCACCCTCCATTGACCTTGTTGTTCTAGGGCTTACACTACTAGAACATCCGCATCTTATCAATTATTGCTTGAACCCATGGAGCGATCTCAAATAGCGCGCTATAGATAATAGTGGTAGAAATGAATACACATATGAAATTTGATACAACTCTTCCGTTTCCCTATAGGCTGCCTACCAAGGCTCTCGTAGACCAGAACCTATTTGGAAAAGGGCATCAAGAAACTCAAGAGCTTTGCTGCTAGACCTGAACAGCTCCTTGGGTGCTCGGGTCAGTGAAGCACGGCATACTGCACCATCGGAGACTCTTGAGAGCATACCCTATCGTCTAGGCCCAGAGGTACATGCTGTAAACCGATGCCCGCAGGGTATCGTAAACAAGTCTGTGTCAGTTCCAAGTATGCTCTCCCTTAGCCGAACGACGAACAACCAATAGAGCACTTAACTCACAGCACCGTCGAGCCCCAGCTTCTACGAGGCTTTGCCAACATCACTCAGCTGCTAGATGTTGTTGGACCTATTGTCCCGTCTCGGCCAATGAAAGGCGGTAATGTGCAGAGACATTATGCTTGTCTGTCGTTGAACATCGAGGCTTCACTGGATTGCTAGAAAAAGAAACGACTGACCACATTAGAGTGAAGGGATGTGTGAGTAGATTTCGGACCCATCACATCGACGCAAACCAACATCGAATGCAGACTACGACGAACACGACAATCCAAAAATGAATGGGCGATGGGATCTTGCGTATTTCAATCGAGAATATGTAGTCCTTTTTCTAATTCACATTACGAACCATTCGTCCCATTCCGAATCCGGCCACATCGGGCTCCCATGACCCCGACGACGGCTAGGATCTCGCGGTACCCTACCCTTCAACATCCAAGATGCCGACGTGAAACTAACCCAGAATCCGCCATTCTCGTCCATATCTCCATGGATATTTGCGCTCGCGAGCCGGGTTCTTTGGACTGGCCTGCCTGTTTCCTGATCAACCTCTCTCTCTTCGATCTCGATGACGCGCCTTGCTACTACAGCATGCTGCTTAGGGTCCCAGAGGGCTTCTCGTGGCGGATTCCTGGCAAGGAGAGAGACTGATTCACGCCGAGTGGCAGGACAACGACAGTGAATCGCGGCGAAGTACTGAATGTGGAGGAACAATTAGCGGACGTTCTGATGGTGCAGGAAAGGAACGATACAACTAGTCAGATGCGTCAAGCCCTGTTTGGATTCTAAACAACAACTGTTGCTGTTTTTGAAACCTTTGTTATAGCTTGAGCACCTCTAACTATCCGGACCCTGACCTTACGTACTAGCGGAGGAATCAGTGAGATCTCAAAGGTAAAGTGAGCGGCTCCCTGTTTGGAACTACTGGAAGGTGATGTCGACATTTCGCTGCGGCTGGAGCAGGATGGAGAACTCGAAGGCATGGTTGGAGACGCGGATGGAGAAGAAGTGGGCAAATTCATGGAGTCGAGCACGATCTTGGCGTGATGATTCAAAGCTTTGAAGCTAGAGATATGCGCATCGAAGGAGGTTTGGTGGGCATCGATGGCGCCCGCCAAGGCAATGTAAGTAGAGTAGTGTGATATTTTGAGTGAGCTTGCTACAACGCTGTCTTCTCTCGACAACTTCCCCTCGCGTTCCAAGATCCGCAAGGCCCGAAACCAGGAATCATGGCAACTAAGAAGGTAGGCATGATATTGCAAGTCTTTCGTCGTTGGTTTGGTTCCCGAGATGACCTTCCGAGTCACTACCGAGACCAAAATCACAGTCGCATTTCGCAGCCCATAGATCGCGGATTGGGCTTCCAGAACACTTGTGAAAGGCCGGCCTTGGAGGATCTGCGGGCGTGTGCAAAATCTTTTGAGGAGCGGCTCGAACGGGGCGCCAAACAGTAGTCCAGTCGCTATCGCTCGGATGAACATAGGAATAAGTTTACCCGAAATTATACTCGGGCCAGCCACTGTTTTCGCAATCGCAATAGAGGACGGTAGAGATGGTAAACTACTCTGCGAAGCATTCTGGGGCCTCTGCCACCACTCGGCGATGATCTTGAGACCACTGTGAAGATGCGTAAACGCGGTATAGTAATCGCCTCTTAGGAACTCGATGCAGATGAAAAGCAAACAAGTGACCAGCCCAACCTCTATAGGGTATGAGGACTCGGCCATGCGATGGACAAGGCATCGGACCGCCTTGTTGTAATGAAGGAGAAGAGTCTTACGGCTATCGCTCGCAGAGACAGAGCGAGCATGCTTCAAGTTACCCGGCTCTGTCTTGACAAGATAACCCAATGCAATCACAGCATGCCGAACAGCAGACTCCGATTGGGCCATCTGGAGGACTATGCGAGACCAGAACTCATGGTCGAAGTTGCTGGCAAGCGTGGGGGCGGCACAGTGATGGTAGAACTCCAGGTAGAGAACACTGTCGCCAAGACCAGATAGCATCGGAACAGTACTCCGGAAGCTGGATGATTGGGTAGGGACGAGAGCTTGGGGGTTGAAGCCTGCAACTTGGGCGTAACCATCGCATTTACGGCCCGTGCTCGTACATCTACCAAGGTTAAAAAGATTTCAGGAAGCATACGTCATACATACCTCACGCATGCAGGCTTCCTTTCATCGCACTTAACACGTCGAAGTCTGTGACAAGGTTGTTAGCTACATATGCACCTTGCACATCTCTGGTTACCGTCTAAGTATCTACCCACTTGCATGTTCGACACCCAGTCTTTACCTTTGCACCATATCTACGCGTCTTTCTTAAGCTGGGAAATTCGAGAATAGAAGTGCTAGATAGCATCTTTGGCGGGTCGTTGGAAAATTGAATGACGAGTCCGAGTTGAGACATGCCATTGCTGTATGACGGCTAGCGTTTATATCGTAGTATCAAGTGTGGAGACTTTGAAAAGGGGTTCTCGAGCGTAGCCTCCTTTGGGGCAAGTGCAATTCGAGTATCACGTGAATATACGAGCAGACCAATCAGATCTCCAAAATGTGTTCGCACCACTCACGGCTTTCACACAGTCTAAATCTCGTATATCTTCCCTTTTCCCTGGACTACTCTCAAGATCTGATCTAGATCTCATTCAATCCTTACTTCGAAAGATAGCGACCTCTCCCTGACCCCTACATGTACTGTCCCCTCTGGTCCTAATACTGGCGGACAAGGCATATCGGCATAGCAGTGAGCTCTACCTATCCGCGGAGATGCATATAAAGGGACCCTATGCCTCCAGGAATGCCATCTGGTTCATATATATCTACTTCAACCACTTCACAGTTCTGAAGGATGAGTGACTCATAATCGACCATCAAGTTCCCTACCCCTCCATTTATAACCGGAATCGACGACCCGAAGGAAACGGGGGAGCACGATAGTTGAGGTATGTTGGCCTTAACCGATCAGTTCAGCAGCTAAAAACTCATGGAAATCCAGTCAGCGATGAGTCAGCAGAGTCAATCAGGGAGTCAGCGTTCCCAACCGTACGTACTACGACTCGTAGATACGTGAACGTAGCAGTCACGTGAGCCGTTGAAACGTAGGAGGAGTGTGAGCCGTAACGTACGTAGGAGCCAGCTCCCATTACGGACCGTAATACGTCTTAGAGAGACAATATTTCCTAGTAATATAAGGTCTTATTAGACAGCTATAGGGACGCGTTAGAAGGGTGTTTAAAGTTATATTTTTAGAGTAATAATTAAGTAAAAACTCTACAGTTTATACAATAATTAAAAAGCTAGCAAAGAAGAGGATTAAGGCGTAAGATTCTATAATTTTAGTTAAGAATTATAATTACTTATAAACTTACTTATTATAAGCTAGATGTCCTAGTTTCTTTAGTATAGCAGGTATACAGCTTTATCCTAAAAATCCTTTTAAGCTAGCTTTTTTTACTAAACTAAGGTTGCTTATTATGCTAGTTCTTATTAACTTGCCTAATTAAAGTCCTTATTATTAAAGTCTTTAGTTTTTTTTTATAATAGCACACTATCTAATAGTTTTTTAGCCCTTATAAAAGAGTACCTAGATAACTCTACTTTTAATAATAAAGTATTATTTACTATTAAGTAAGATAATATCTAAATAAAAAACAAAAAGTTAAGGCTAGAGAAGCTTAAATACTAAGTAAAGCATAAAAGCTAATTACATAGTAATTATTAGTTATTCTAGATATAGCTTTATAGAGCTAATTTAGTGTATAATAATAAAAAAGACGCCTCTAGGATAAAGTTGTAGCTCTATAGAAAGTGCTACGCTAAGGGTAATTATAAAAAAGTAAAAAAAGTTAATAGTTACACTTATATTATCTACTACCTTAGAAAAAAGCACTAGATAAATGTTAGTAGAGGAAGTAAAGGCGCTTTTTTACTTAATAAGCTAAAAATTCTCTTAAGTCTATTTAAAGTAGCTTATAAGGTTATAGGCTTATTATATATTATTTTTTATAGTGTTTAGTAGAAGAAAGCTCTATAAGTAGTAGTTATTAACTAAGTAATACTTTATAATATTTTTTTTATATAGCATTATTAGCAAAACTTTAGGGCATTATTACTTAAAATAAAGCTAATCTTTTTGCTACTCTCTTAGCGTCTAACACTACATATTTGTTCTATGTGTAGCAGGGATATACACAGCAGAAGCAGGAGATTTAAATAATGCTAAGAATAGCCTAAAGTAAAATTATGTTAAGCATTAATATATAAACTTCTCTAAACTACCTCTCTTTTCTAGGTATAGTGTTGCATTTTATTAGTAGGTGTACTTTAGCTTATTAGTTTAGTGTCTTAGCATCCTCTATTAAACTAAACACTAACTAATAATACTGCGTAGATATTAACTACTAACACTATAACATCCTAATTAGCTTCTGTAACCTGTACAGTAACTATACTAAAGCAAATTAAACGCTAGAGATTATTAAAGTTATTAATAACTTTAAAATTACATTAAAATTTTATTATTTAGTAGCTAATAATGTGTTAAATAATAATAATAAGACTATCTTTACCTTTGCTTAACATCTTAATATGCCCCTTACCTCTAAGCACTGTATACGCTGCGCTGGCTATACAATCTAGCTAGTAGTAAAAGCAGTTATTTATAGTAAAAAGATAAGCGCTTTTAAAGTAAAGCTTACTTAAGCAGCTTTTTAGAAATAATTTAACCTTTATTACTGCTATAAAGTTATTAAAAAACTTTATAATTTTATAAACATAGTGCTAGCATTATATAAATAATAAGAGGCTTTTATAACTTTTTAGGCTACTCTTAATAACAACAACTCTTTCTAGAGCTTTAGGACGCTTAATCTTATGTAAGACAGTAGTGTACGCTAGCACAGTGTTTATCTTATGCTCCTCTGCTGTTTTAAGCTTAAGGACACTATTACTAAGTTTATACATAAGTAAAGAAGCACTAATAATAACTTTATAAACTTTACTATCTCTAGTAACTCTACTCTTACTAAGGTTATTACTAAGAATAAATAAAAAAAAGTTAATTACTTTTATAAGTTTTTTAAAGTTTTTTACTTTATAATAAAACGCTTTAAAAGCAATAGCTTCTATAGCTTTTTTTAGATGTTTATTATTAACTTATAACACTTTTATACTAAGCTTTTATGTATAGGTAATAAACTTAAGAGTAAGAGTAATAATTACTACTTTAAATTTAGTGTAGCATTTAGCATAGAGAAGTTACTTACATACTAAAAAAAGTTTGTTATTAAGCCACTTATATTTTATTACTATATAGTAATAATTTTAAACTCTTAACTTTATCTTATTTAGTTTAAGAACTACTAAAGAAAGCACTTTATATAGTATAAAAAAGCTAAGGCTTTAATAAAGGCTATTTTTTAAAAGTACATTAATGTAAAGGCTAAGGCTAAGGCTAATAATAATAACATTACTTAAAAGCCTACGTAACATAAGTTACCTAGTAGCAACTATTATAATAAGAGCTTTAAAAGAACTCTCTTTATTAACATAAGCCTTCTTACTAGCAGCTACTTATATAAAAAGCAGTAGAAAACAACAGAGTTATAGTAGTACTATAATAGCTACTACAAAGACATTACTATAGCTAATAATAACAGCCCTTTATTTACTAACCTTTTTACTTAGTAGAAATAAGTTAGACAACTCTTTTACTTTATACTATATAAAATTACTTTTAACTTCTTATCTATCTTTTTTATAAGCTGTAATTATAAGAGGTTTTTTTTTAAAAGTAAAAAAACTATTAACATGGTCCACAAGCGAATGTTCAACACAAGCGAGTGTTCCGCCCCACCACTAAAACGCAGCCAACCTACTACTAACTGCGATGCATTAACAACTATATAATTAATCATCTTTAAAAGAGGCTAGAATTAACCTAGCTATTTAAGCTTTTAATAAAGACGCGTCTTTAACTAAGAGGCGCGCTGCAGCACTCTATAATGTTAATTAAATAGCTCTCCGCTAACAACGCGCAGGGATGACTATGCAACGCAACTGTACAGCTAACAACAAGAAGCTTACAAAGCTAGAAAAGAAGGTAATTATTAAGCATATACTTAATCTAGATTCCTAAGGATTTGCGCCTACTCTAGGTGCTGTACAAGAGATAGCTAACAAGCTTCTTACTAAGCGCAGCGCTCCACTAGCAGGTATTAACTAGCTATCTAACTTTGTTGCGCGTACGCTAGCAGTTAAAACCTACCTTAGCTAACTGTATAATTACTAATAAGCAAAATGCAAAGATCTAGTAATTATAAGCAAGTAGTTTAAGCTTGTAGAGGCTACATAATTAAAGTATAGCATTATAAATTAAGACATGTATAATTTTAACAAGACAGGCTTTTAGATAGGGGTTATATTAAGCTAAATAGTTGTTACAGGCATAGATAGACATAATTAGCTAAAGGCTATACAGCTAGGTAACTGTAAATAGGTGACAGTTATTGCAGGCATTAACGCAGATAGGTAGGCAATACCTCTGTACGCAATCTTTAAAGGCAAGCATCACCTATCTACCTAGTATAAGGATAAGGATATACTAAAGGACTAGGCTATTAGTGTTAGCAACAACAGCTAAATAACTAATAAACATAGAATTACATAGCTAGAGCACTTTAATCTGCACATAAAAGATTACTTAGTAGGCTTATAGCAGCTACTTATTTTTAATAGCTATAAGAGCTATTACTCTATTAAATTTCTAAAGCTCTATAAGCAGAGGTGTATTATAGCGCTCTATATGCTAGCACACGCGTCACATATTCTACAGCTGCTTAACGTTAGCTGCTTTTTGCTGTTAAAGCGCGTGTATAGTACTAAAATTAGCTAGTTAATCTGCTACTAGATTAACTATATTAATAAGCTAACTTTCCTACTAGCCTTTAAGGCAGCATTTAGTTGCTTAATTATAATAGATAATATCTGCGCAGGCTTTAGAGCTACAGGACTAGTTCTATTTAACCTAGAGCTAGTGCTCTTAAAGCTTAATATACAGCTACCTAATTAGCTAGCTACTCTACTACTAAATACTGCTTAGAAGGCTTAAACACTTAGCAATCTTTATAAAGTTAAGGCTTAGTTAACTTTACTATATAATTAGATTTAAAAGCATTAGAATTTATTTTTTTTTGCTATGCTTAATCTAGCAAAGTAGCTAAGTAAGAGCGCTACTAAGATAGCTTATATTACTGTTCTACAGCGCAATTAAGCAGCTGCCCTAAAAAGGGCCTATAAGGCAGCTATAAAGCATAAGTAGTGTAAAAAAAAGTAAATTTAAAAAAAAGAAACTCTAATAAGTTATTAAGGCTTTAAGTTAAGTACTTAGAAGCTTGCTAGTATAGCAGGAGGTAGCAAAATGCCTTAAAAGGAGTTAACTGCTAAAAGCAGCGCAGCGCGCGCACAGCGCTGCAAGCGCTGCAACAAGCCTAGGCATAACTCTTATACATGTAAGGATATTAAATAATTCTATAGTAGTTTATTTTATATAGTATATTTTTGCGTTGTTAAATTAATAGTCTTTAAAGTTAAATTTAGTAGTAGGGCAGAACACTCGCTTGTGTTGAACATTCGCTTGTGGACCATGTTACTTATAATAAAAATAAGCTTTTTAGCTTAATAATTAAGGCTCTTTAACTGCAAAAAAACTAGCTCTAGCAAGGTTATATTTATAGTAAAATAGGGGACTTAGTAGACTGTATACGCTGTAACGTCTTACAAGCTGTTAAAACGTAGGAGGATTGTAAGCTATAACAGTTACGCCCTGTAAGTAGATTTAAATTCTCCTTTTACATTAAAATGTACTAACAAACTAAGAAGTTACAGCCTAAAAAACGGCGAGTTAAAACGTATTACGTACGGTTGGGAACGCTGCAGGGAGTGGGCACATGGACAAGGATGGAAAGGTTGTGAAAGACCCATCCCAGGTTCAGTCGTCTTCGGAGCACTCATCTGGTAATTTAAATGTCCTATCATCACCCTGGACGCCTCTAATTCCTACAGAAGAAATGAAAAATAACACGCTCTGAATGATAAACTCCGGCAGGAAATCGACCGCAAAGATGCAGGCATTCGGAACCCTGAACAGATCCTAGAACAGATGAGCGACTGGCTTGGCGATACAGCAAGTGAATTCATGAACAAAGCGAGTGCACGCAATGATATCTACAAGGACAAACCAGAGTAAACGTCGCAAAAGAGAAGGAAGGTGGATTCGGCTTGATATTATGGTGTTTGATAGATCTAAGTACCATGCATCCCTGCGTAGCGAGACAACCTGCGTGGCGAGACAAATGAGGGGTACTTTGACTTTCAACCCCTGGAAAGCCCATATGCACGACGGATACTGCTATGTTTCTATAGAAATAATCTGCTACAGCTTATCCCAACTGTTCATGATCCACTCTTCCCTAAAAATTGCATTCGCATCGTTGCCTCCGAGCCTAATTTACAAATCGCCTTCTTTCGCAGCATAATAGATTTCCTCCCCACAGCGCCAACATCAAGCCTTTTTCGCTCTGAATTTCTGTAAAACGGCTTTGTCCTAGACTCATAGCCTCCGTCTCATACTAGGAAGTCATCATCAGCCCTATGCGCGCTGCAGGGCGCAATTTCATGCAGGGTCTCCATGTCGATTCGTCCTTCCAGCGGAAGCGAATAACCAATTCTGGCTAATGCGAGATGACCCCCACGTTCCATCTCATACATTCGCAGGTATTTTATTGTAAGGCATGTGGTAGTTGGGATTACATAAGCACTCAGAATATGATCAATTCCGGCTGTGGATTGGGAGGAGTGCCAAGATCCGCACAGCTACGGCGCTTGTCAGTCTAACTAACGCGTTTCCAGCGTCGAAGCCAGCTGCGACATGGCCATCGTACAATTTCGAGATGCGGTTCAACGCGCAACAATACCCGTAGCTAGGAGAGGTACCATCACCTCGCCCTCGAGTGCCGAAATCCGCCGATATGCCTTCCGCTGACCAAAGGAAAGGCCTGCTCAAGCCACCACATCCTCATGCTTCTCGAGCCCATCACACCCGATCCAACTGAGCACCAGCTAGACGTCTGGCAACAGCCCTCTAGAAAGAGAATACGACGGGATAGAAGAGCATGGAATGGAGCGAGTGGGAGGCAGAGCGCTGTCGCTGCAAGCATATACATGTTACGGAACCACCAGGTCGGTAAACTCTGCCTGTGCAGAGATCAGATCCGCACATGGGCTGTGACCCCTAAAGCTAGGCCCACTACGGCCACTCCTGCTGCATGGGCCCATGTAGCTGATACCTGGATATATTCTGTCTGTCCCTGCCAAAGGTAGCTCTTTGAGCTACCTCTTGTATTCTACCTGCAGGTACCTATCCAGTACCCCCCTGCATAGTACTAAATCCATTCTTATCCACTGTTACCTCCTCACTGCCTTCCGCCTGCCCTGCCGTTTCCTGGCATTCCTGTCGTTCCCTGACAATACAAAAGTGGAAAGGCTCGGCATGTTTTGGCGATATAGCTGTCACACGGTCAAACAATGAGTGGCCTCTTACATGAGCACTGCAATCTTTAGGGTCATAGAGAGGTCCTTCAGTTCGGCCTCTAGAACGATGAAGAGTTTCTATAGTAGGTGTCTATAGGCACTAAATAAGGTGTGATAGAGATGTGGTGGTACCTATGCTTAGCAAGGCACTAGGACTGCGCAATGTCTTCTTCATTTCACCTACCAACAAACTATTACCTCCAGCGCAACCCCATGGCCGGAGCGAGTCGGCCGCCCTTCCTACTAGTGGGGGCCAGGTGTTCGTCTACCTTCAGTGAAAGGCGAGAGTGATAAGTGTTATAAGCATTCTATGAGTAAGTTAGCTACCTTGCCACCAGTACCGAAAGGTCTTAACCCCTCGCCGTAGTAAGTGCCGCGTTCATTTACCACGGCTCCAAAACTATCGGCTGACAAAGCATTTCCATCTCATGCACACTGGTCTGTTCACCTAGTCTCCAACGGTTGCTCGTTTGATCAAACTCATATGGATCTCTCGCTGTCCAGTCCGAGAATTTCTTAATGACCTTGGCAGCATGTTCCGGTGTTGTGCGGAACCATTCCACGTGTTTCATATGGCATCCTTCACAAGGGTTTTCTTGAAATCGAACATCTTTCAACTCAGCAAAAACAAGCTGTTCAACACGCCGAGCGTATTTGACGAGTAATCTTTTGCCTTGAGCATGTTGCATATACTCCCGGACATGATGCTTGCATTGTTTCTCCCAATTCTTCAGTCTGCGAGGGACGTTCACTGTAACTCCAATCCTGATGAAACCAAAATTACCAAGCGACCAGACAATAAAAAGATACATCTTAGGCAGCTCTATCTTCGTGAGAGGTTTTTCCATGACCTGTCGTATCGCAGCTTGGGTAGAAAGAGAGCTGAAGGCGTTTCCCTGTAATGGTGAAAAGGCTCGGTTGGTGTGAAGAGGTTCATTTTCTTCTAGTGAACTTTCTTTTGGTGAACTTTCTTCTGGTGAACTTTCTTCTGGTGAGCTTTCTTCGGGTGAGCTTTCTTCGAGTGAGCTTTCTTCGGGCGAGCTTTCTTCGGGTGAACTTTCTTCGACTGAACTTTCTTCCAATGGATGATCATCCTCGCGAGATAAATCGAGTCTTTGACCAGTTGCTGCCGTCGTACCCTCGTCTTTTCTTCTCGGAGCACAGTCATTGCAAAAGAGCTCGTAAACCGGATCTGGATGAGAGCTTTGGATATCTAGAAGACGATGAAGTAGGGCTTCAGCTCCGATTCGGTCTGCACTTCTAGGCTCCAACATGGAGTGACAAGCGCGGAACACCTGGTCTCGTCCGGAATCGGATGTACTGAGATAGATAAGAGCCTTCCGAATATGATCGACCATTTCCCAATAAGGATCAGAGTTAGAGACTCCTAAATCAATATTAGGTTCCAGCACGGCTAATATTTCTATGAAAACACAGCCCAGAGAGAAGACGTCTGATTTCCTGTTTCTTTTCTCCCAATTGGCCACTTCTGGAGCACAATAGCGCATTGTGAGAGCTTCCGGTTTGCCAGTAGTGGTGGTATTTTGCTGACTTGCATCATATGAAATACCGAAATCCGTATAGATAACCCGGTCATTGTGAATTAATATACTCTTTGGTTTGATATCTTTGTGCCGAATTGTATGCTTGTGAATAAATGCAAGACCACTCGCAAGGCATCCAAATGAGTGATTGAGGACAGAGTATTGCTTTTCTGTTATAGGAGTGTCTGAGTCTTTGATATCTTGAAGATAAGCTCTAAGATCTCCTCCGTTAGCAATTGGAATGAGGAGCATGCCTAGCTCACGGCCGCAAGTGTACGATCCAAACACTCGGATAATATGCAGATGCGATTGTAACCGCTTTATATGCTGATTTCGTTCCTGAATGCCTCCTTGAATTTTTCGAAGTCTGTGCCGTAGTATTTGCCGAAAAGTTTGTGTGCGAGCTTTTGGCCGGTTGTTTGGTCTTCTACCATCTCGACCATAGCGCTGCTACCAAAGCCGAGTTGGCCGAGGAATCGAAAAGGTAACATATTGCGGTGCGTGATATCTATGTGCTGACCTTCGCCAAAAACTGTGCTGGAATGTGTAGAGGATGGATCAATATGTGCCGCATCTGCTGGGTTTGCCCCTCCATCTCCCTGAAGTGCCGTATGATCTTGGAGTAGGAGCTTCCGCGACATTTTTGGACGGAATCGGGGGGGAAGAATAGTGACTGAAGAGGGAAAGTGTCGGCAACATCAGGGTGCCTCTTGCGAAAGATGTTAAGGGTAGGTGCTCACCCGCGAGAGCCTCAGTTGCTGTGCCGCAGCCTTGCAGCGCACAGCCACCTTTAGGCAGCTACAACGCTATGCATTCTCCGTATCTCACACAGCCATTGAACGGGGGCGCCGGAGAGATCTTTAAGAAGTTGAAATTACCCTGATTGTTGAAAACGCAAATCACAGGGTACCTACTACCTAGTCTGCAAGTATTGCCCTATAGAATGTGTGACACAGACGTATTTGGAGAAGTGGGCACATCACCACCGCTAGCAGGGAGGTGGACCAAGCCGCTCTGACCACACCCTTGCGTGGAAGGAAATATTTTGTTAGTGTGAGTGAAGAGAGAAGGACGTTATGTACGATGTCTCGCCAAGAAAAGTTCGAAAATCCCTCGGTCAGTTCCGCATCACGCTATACTAGAACTCTAGCTCTCTCCAGCCTAGCTGTTATGGACTTGACAGTCTGAACTCTTTATGGCTCTTGAAAGCCAAACTTGAGCACCTCTTTGCGGACTAATAATTGCAGTGTTGATGCAAGTTGCTCTTCGTTATATGACCGTGCGACGGCTGTATTACCGATGCACAGAGTCTTTCTACCTTTATATATGCTTGAAACTACAGCACTCGACTATTGACACTTAACTCACTTGCCAAAGCCCAAGCTTGGATCGTCGTGTTTGAAACCATGCCGGCCTGTGCCTGCTACCATTCCCGCTATGTAAGACTTTCCCACATTACTCTCTCTTAGACGTTACTTATTGTATTCTCTTCGATGAGAAGAGCAATATATGGCTGCTGCTTGGTATACGTATAATGCTGCGACGTGCTTAAGAAGCAGGCGGACGCGATGGGCTTGAGGAAATCTTATGTTCAGACAGTGACGGTATCAGCGATGGGTTTGCGAAGCTGGGGGCGGCGTGATAATCTATCTGCTTGTTATGGAGACTTTCGCGTTAGGTACGGTGGTCAATTGCACTGCATCTCAAAGGTGTATGATAGCTGCATCAGATTGAATGCTAGACGCATTACTTGTTCTTAACGAGCGCCGGGGGCTTTAGCACTAATACCCCCGCTCCGAATCCATAGCGGGATTTAAGGTTATCCCGGATTACTTAGCCAGGGACTTCTCAGCCACATGTTCAGCTGCCACCGTAAATTACACGGAAATGATTGGATGGGGTCAGCTTACATTAGCTAAGGTTCGTAATCGTTTCTTCTTAGAAGTACTGACCGGCATAGCGACCCCGCATGATTTTGCGTGCAACAGCAGGCATAAGGCTGATAGTGATATCCTAACAGCAGAGTCAGGTTCTAGCGCTCGGTTAGAGCCCTTTATAAATTTCTGGAGTGGTAGAGGTCAGACGATGGTGCTGCAGGGAGGAAAGCTTGTTACGACGCAAAAGCAGACGCTTCATAAATCAGGCGCGGGGGCGATAAGGTAAATGCAATTTTCAGGTAGGATAGGTCTGCGATATTAAGAAATAGCTACAACACACGATTTGTATGCTTTTATAGCAGTATTTATTGCGCGCACAGGCTGCGTATTACTAGAAGTCGAAGTACCCCTTAATTATATCGCCACACAGGGCGTCTTGCGAGTCAGGGGAGGACGTTACGTCGAATTTACCACTTGGCTTCTGCACTGCCTTAGTCATTGGAGAGAGTCTCCGACATGACGCAATCCTTCTCCTGTGGGTAGTCTGCTTGGGCCGAGATCGCGCTGCACCCAGTCGCTTTCCCTTTCGCTCGTCTTTGTTGAGCTCCAAGATAATGAGCTTGCGACTTTATTACTGGCGGGGGGTATACTTTATTCTTCGCAATGTTAGATGTTTAATTGTCATAGTTATGTAGACGATGGGGAGAGACTCACAAGAGCTTCTTGACCTGGAGGCGACCAAGGCTGGCCGGTCTCATCTGTCGATATGAATCCATGAAATCGGCCGTTGCGGTATGCTAGAAAATAGATTTTCGTGTCATACTGTTGGCACAACTTAGATAATTTTTTGTAAAGTGTCTGGGATAGTTTTTGATAATTGTTGTTCGCAGCCCGTCTTGTTGAGCGCTCTACTGCCTGTGCAGAGGACATGGCTTTTTGGATAGAAATTAAGGGCCGATTAACTAGGCCAACAGTAGTGTTATAACACGGGAGCGGCCTCGCAATAAATGAGGGACGTCTGGTTCCTAGATCAAGGTGCTGTTGAGGCCCCAGACAAGCAGTCGCGTCTCTGTAACATGCGCTTACGTGAAGCCTTTTATAAGCGCAGAAATGAAGAACCGAGTTGATTTCTAAAGGAGTTTACCTAGGGGTCTATATATATGCAAGAAAGGGGGAAGCCTTGACAACATGTGACTACTTCAAACAGCTTGTTTGCGGCTTTCTGTCACTGGGATATGCCTTCTTGACTCCTGTTTGCGGGCGCCTGCAAGGCTTTGTTCTGGGCCGCTCGCTTTTCTGGTTCCCGTTTTCGGATTCTGGTCTATGCTAGACACATGCTATACACGCTAGGTGCCTGATGCTATACGTACGGGAGTATGATATTATAGGAGCCTGTGGGATATGGTTTTTGGTTCCCGTATTCAATCCCTGGCTACTGAACGGCGTTGTTGCGCGACTGCGGAATTCATAGCAAGACTGGTCATAGCTGCCAGTTTCCTAGACTAGTCGTCCGATTCTATTAACGTTATGCGTTCTAGCTCTTAGACTGCATATGGCATTATATACGAGATAGCTCACCCAGAACACAATCACTTTTGTTAATAAATTGTGACCTAGATAAGGCCCTTGACGAGGCGGTCAGCCACCGATGATGAAAACGGTGGCACAGGCAGGATCTGGCGACCAGAGCGGGCCGCAGATGCGCCATCAATATCCCTGGTGTTTTTAGGCAGCGCTTACTTTGCTATTTTCGTTGGAATGCGTAGCGCTAAGGCGCTTTTGGTTTCCTGTTTTCCATTTTCAAGCTCTCAGTTCTTAAGTTAACTAACGTCCCTCACTGCGTGGCGAAAAACACGCCATGACGAAAATCCACCAACACTTTTTGACACAACAAACTCAACAGCAAGCTACAGCCGTAGATATTCTCAGGATAGCAGCTTTGAATCTTGAATTATTGTCTGTCCTTATTATATTTTGGCAGTTTTTACTCCTTACTGTGCAATACCACCATCTGCATTGCGCTTCGCTCGAGAGCTTGACTTGGAACAGCCTAGTAGCCACTACAAAGTCGATAGATCTTGTTGAAAATCCTACAAATTGTAGACAGGCATGTAAGCTTCCTATTCTGAGAGCAGCAACTTGATCCAAATGTTGTTGTGCCGTCGCGGCGACTTAACATCTGTAGATTTTGGAAAACCCGGCATGAAACTTAGTGGCTGTATAGAAAAGTTAAAATCAGCTTAGCTGAAATCTAGGGCTTAATGCCGCATTGTTGCCTGATTTCTTAGCGTTTGGCGTCGCACAGCCATTTAAAAGAATGGCGTGTGTTAGCGACTTCACTGGCTATGCTATGCCCTCTCATATTATGTCATAAAGGCCACGTAGCTGTTCCACTTTGTCGCTTAATGTTGGAACTTTCCCTCCGTCTTGATATCTCTTCACGATCAACACAGTAACTAAAATTACTTTTCTCAGATCTCATGCTAGAAGCCGGGAATGTGCCTTAGAGAAGTGCAGGCGGCTTGTGCGCTGCCTCATGACCTGTACGGCGTGCACGTGACGGTGCAGGTGAGCTTGCACTGCCTCAAGTACGATCACCACAGCCTACCACTATAAGAGACTACATAAAATCAGTCTTTCCTGCTTTTCCATACTCAGTTAGACAACGTGAAAACCTCCCCTTTCTTAAACAATTCTCTCTTCTTGTGTTAGCATCCCTAAACTCCTGTAACAGTCATGCAATTACTGCACTTTAATGACTCTGGAAGACTGGTCTTAACAGACTTCGCCAAAAGAACAATTCCGCCGTATGCAATCCTGTCACATAGATGGTGGGGAGACGACCTTGAGGTCCACTACCAGGAAGTACTAAACAACACCTATGCAAGCAAGGATGGCTACCGCAAGATCAAATTTTGCGCCGAACAGGCTACCCAAGATGAACTACAGTACTTTTGGGTTGACACATGTTGCTTCGACAGATACAACAGCCGTGAACGCTCGAATGCGGTCAACTCGATGTTCCGTTGGTATCAGAACGCCGCAAAATGTTACGTATTCCTTTCCGATGTGTCAGTAGCTACTGCGACAGATGCCCAGCAGCAAAGTACGTGGGAAGCACGTTTCCAGGCAAGCGAATGGTTTACCCGAGCTTGGACGCTTCAAGAACTTATTGCTCCAGCATCAGTCGAATTCTTTTCTTCTGAAGGTCAGCGACTGGGAGATAAGGAATCCCTCCTGCAATTAATACACGACATAACTAGCATTCCATTAGAGGCTTTACAGGGCTGTCCTCTGGAGAAGTTCAGTGTCTCCGATCGAATGACGTGGGCCCGAACCCGCAAAGCGACCGAGCCAGAAGACCATGCATATTGTCTTCTTGGAGTTCTCAACGTACAAATACCTCTCACATACGGTGAAGGAAAAGAGAAAGCATTAAGCAGGCTTCAAGACGAGGTTAAACACTCGGATGCCACCCCATCTATCATTCCTTTCTCCCGAAACGAACGATTCGTCGGACGTCAGCCACAACTCGCTAAAGTGGAAGCCATCTTGTCTGCCAGCAACCAAAATACAAGAATTGCAATAACAGGAGAAGGAGGAACAGGCAAATCACAGTTGGCGCTCGAGATTGCATACAGGATAAAGGAAAAGGACAAGGCATGCTCGGTCTTCTGGATCGACGCAAGCGACATCGACAGTATCCACCAAGCATATGCAAATATCGCTCAAAAGCTTGAGCTCCCTGGTTGGGAGGATGAAGAAGCGGATGCTAAGCAGCTAGTGAAACTTCATCTGGACGGAGATGATGCGAAACATTGGCTATTTATCTTCGACAACGTGGACAGCCTAGCCTTTGAAGATGCAGGACCTCTCACACCACAATCGAGCAGCTTAATCGACCACCTTCCCCAGTCCAAATTTGGGTCCGTCATCTTCACAACAACGAATAACGACGTAGCCCAGTCCTTAGCGCTACACAATATCGTAGAACTACATGAGATGGCACCGGATACAGCCCAAGAAATGTTTGAGAACCACCTGATCATCCCAGTCCCGACGAACGAAAAGCAGGAGACGAAGCTTTTGCTAGAAAGGCTATCATATCTTCCGCTAGCAATCGCGCAGGCAGCAGCCTATATCAACAACAACGAGATAAAAGTTAAGGATTACCTATCGCTGTCAGCTACGCAGAATATGGATGCGTTCCAGATTAGCAGCAACCTATTAGAAGACAAGTTGCACGACCATATCATCCCAAGGTCTGTTATGATAACATTACTCATCTCACTGGATCAAATACGCCACAGTCACGTAATGGCCGCCGACTTTCTCTCTCTTATGGCCTGCGTAGACCGAAAGGACATCTTGTTAGATTTTCTAACACCAACCTGGTCGCAGGAAAGGGAAGACGCAATTGGAATTCTTAGTGATTACGCAGTTGTCACAAGGCGACCTGCAGTATCAGCGGTTGACCTTCATCGACTAGTACATCTTGCAGTACGAAGGTGGATTAACAAGCACAGTTCACTTGACGAGTGGACCGGGAAAGCTATTAGGCACTTGGTGGAAGTGTTCCCAGACCATCATCATGGGAATAGAAGCAAGTGGAGACGGTTATTGCCTCATGCTAAGTATGCTTTGTCACATAGTCCAGTCGATCCAGACAATGATGATAGGATGGATCTTGTTTGGAGATGTGCCATGAGCTTATTTGAAGACGGGCGGCATAATGAGGCAGAAGAGCTGTTTGTGCAGGTGATGGAGATTCGCAAGAAGAAACTCGGGGCCGACCATCCAGACACGCTGACGAGCATGGCGAACCTCGCGTCGACATACAGGAATCAAGGCCGGTGGGAAGCGGCAGA